CATTAGTTTTGACAAAATCACAATAGTTCATTGGAGTTTTTAAAATTGTATATTATAATATAAATACAAAATTCAAAAACTTCGGAACAAAAAGTCATTTCTAAGTTAGAAATCACAATGTTTTGTTCTAACAAAGTTGGACGTTTCCACATCATAGGAACTTTTTTTTCCCCGAGGTTTTTTTTTTTCCTCTGAAGCAAAATTTTGGCAAAATTGGTCCAATTTCTGTCAGCGTTTTGATTTCAGTGGAGCTGCATTTTCTGACGGAAAATGGTTCCATCGAAGATTTTCTAACCACCTGGGACCAGCACAGGATCTGAGCTCTGGCAAACTTTGCGGGGGTTCATATTTTTAATAAATGTGTGTGGGTGAGTGTAGTTGGTGAAACAGACTGAAGTTCTCTGTGCAGCCACAAAGGAGGCAGACACACTGCAGATATACCTATTCTACCCCCTGCTAATGGGTCTCAACCCTCATCTGGAGCAACCAACTCCCAGTGCAAGAAGGTAGATCTGTCTGCATGGCCATCCAGTCTGTGCCCTGAGTGCTGAGACTACCAGCAAGGCTGTTGCTCAGTGAGTAAATTTTGTAATTGTGGACACCTATCATTAAAAATGGAGCTGAGACAGACACCACATTTCACACAGTCTAGTGAGCAACCAGCAGATGCTAAATCTGGATATCTACTGACTTAGTGGGGGGTTGAACCAGCGACATAGAGATAAAATGTTTTATATCCCATTCCCTATCAAGCTATCAAGTTGCCATAATGGGCTTTATTAAAAATGACTCCATCTCAAAGTTGAGATTTTGCACTTTCTCAGCTGGTGCCTAACCACAGAGTCATCTTTATTACCATCAGTGCTTAGATAGCGCCATGACAGGCACTTTTAAAAGACCTAAAACTGATTCAGTAAAAGTGGAAAGAACACAGCTTACTTCTCAAATCCCAGGAATGTAGGATGCTGGAAACGCTCAGCTTCTACTGGGCAAGGTTGTGTGCTGCAGCCAAGAGGGAATAAATATGGAATTTGACAATGTCCCTTTTTCTAAGTATAACCCCCTGCAATGGGGTTTACAAGCCCCATACTGGGCAAGGACAGAAGGGAGCGGAGAGTCTTCCCTGTTTACAGGCAATCAGGCTGATCACCCTGCACTACCACCCCCCCGCAGCTGCCAGAACTGCCAAGTGTGGAGACATGCACCCACAGCTGGGATCAATAAGGAAAACAAGCCCAGCTATAAAGAGGGGGAGAACAGCAAGGGAAAAGGGAGGCAGAAAGGCTTGGGATGGTAGAGATGCAACAGGCAGGAGACCAAAGGAGATTGAAAGCCCTAGAGCTTAAGGGCTGATGGACTCAATTTAAGTTAAGAGGTTATAGCCTGGTCTAATGGTAGATTAATTGCAGGGGACCAGTTAGCAGAGAGTTGCACCAAGAACAGCTGACATTCCCAGATTGTGTCAGCTTCCCCAGGAACTTTGGGCCTGATTTGGTGAGAGAGGAATCATGTCAGTTCTTCCACTGACATCTTAATTATACTGCATATTCTTAACCCACCAAAGTCAAGAAAAGGGGCATTACATCCCAGTGGCTGGTGAGAACCCTTCAGGAAGCCAGTCTCTCAACTCAGTCCAATAGTGTGAACAATATGTGAGGCAGAAGAAAAGTAGATCAGAAAAAAGTTATGAAAAGAAGGGCACTGCCTTCCCAGTGGCTGTTTTTCACGCTTGAATAACTTCAGGGCTGTTGTTTTCTAAATGAGCAAAATCATCATCCGCAGTAGAGAGAGTAATAGCCTCTGGAATCTGATTGTTTCAGTGTAGATGCCTCCTAAGTTGAAGGAACATGTGAAACTGGATTTTGAACTGCAGGTCTGTGAATAGCTTGGGAAACAACAACAAAATATAAGATTCCAGCACCCTCTGCAGGGCAGATGAAGAATCAAACTTTCTTTCTTTGCCAGTCAAACAATTACTTTTCATGACAGGTTTCAGAGTAGCAGCCGTGTTAGTCTGTATCCGCAAAAAGAAAAGGAGGACTTGTGGCACCTTAGAGCCTAACCCATTTATCTGAGCATAATTTGTTAGTCTCTAAGGTGCCAAATGACTTTTAAGTGCTGTAATTAGTTGGCTTGACGGCCCCAAAAGCCTCCTGTTTTTATTGGCAGAAAAATGTGCTAGAGTAGCAGCAATGCAACTGCCCCCCACCGTCCCAGCAACGAGCCTCTAGCGTGACCTGGAGAGACCACTCCGACAGGTGAAGGGAACACACCGTACAGGATCAAACCAGTGGTCTGTCTGGTCCAATATCATGTCACCACAGCGGCCAGGACCAGCAGTGTCAGAGGAAGGGGTGAGAAATTCTGCCGTAAGCACTGATGGACTAATCTACTTCCAGAGGCAGTTTCCTCCTAGCTCTCCACAGTTAGAGGCTGGCTTATGCCTCAAGCATGGGGGTTATACGCCTTCCCAAACTACTCTGGTTTTAATCGTTGTTATTCTAACGCTGGATATTCCTTTTATCCATATAAATGGCTGGTCCCTCTTTGATCCATACTAAGCTCTTGTCCTCAATCATATCTTGTGACAATGAGTTCCACAAACTAGTCGCGCAAACAGGGGCATTGGAACAATTTTTATAGTGGGGGTGCTGAGAGCCATTGAACAAAATTCTAATCCCTGTATATAGTGGAAACCACTTCAATCAGGGGGTGCAGCTGTACACCCAGCACCCCTAGTTCCAGCATCCCCGCATGCAAAAGTATGTCCTTTCATCAGCTTAGATTTTCCTCCTTTCAGTTTCATTTAATGTCCCCGTGTTCTTGTACTATGAGAGAAGTTGAAGAGAAATCTCCCTTCTCTATGCCATTAATTATTTCACCGATGTATGATGCTCAGGGTTGTCCCTAGTGGGATGCAGGGCCCGGGGCGGAAGTGACGGATTCGTCTTCCGGGACCAACCGGGCCAGCCAATTGCACTGGCCCATGGGGTCCCTTAAAGCACGGGGCCCAGAGTGGTCGCCCCAATTCACCCAACCCAAGGGACAGCTCTGACGATGCTGATCCATGCAGTGGTCCCTGCAGTAGTCCTCATCCCAACAATCTCTGCATTCCCACGCTACCTTTTGGTGGTTCTTGACCTTTCTCTGTCCCCATCTCATTGCTGCCAGATCTATGATGCTGCAGGCCCCTGCCAAGAAACTTCATCTCCCTTCAGCAGTCCTCAGCTCTTTCCAATGCTATGGTCCCTGAACCCCCTTTACCCTCCGCTCCATCTCTCTGCTGCAACTGTCTCTGAATCTACCCCTCCATGTCCCCCACATGCTGAGGCAGTCTTCACCCCCTCTCACAACTTTATGATGAGCCTCATGATATTTGAGGATTTTTTTTTAAAGTCCTTGTTGCTGGAAGCAAGAGAATGCATGAAAATAACAGCTTTGCCTTTTTTTTTTTTTTTAAGCAAGTTTCTAACCCTCGGGTGCTGCAGAAAAAGGCCAGAAGACGTGAAGCAACGGCACCCAGAGTGCTCAGAAACCAGAAGGCAAACAGAAAGAACCCATCATTTATTATTTTTATAAAGCTTGTGATTTCTCAGCAAAATCCAGAACTTGGGGAAGGGGGTCTGGCTCATGATTTTTGAGCACTTAAGGCTTGTGATTCCTAACCCCCGGGGTTATGCTGGGGGGAGTGCCAGCGAGAGCCGCAGCAGCCTATTGAGGGTGAGGTTTTGCTTTAACTCCATTTGTTAACACATGCTAGTTTGAACTTTTAGCCCGGGAATGGCTGCATCATCGAGAGCAGCCCTGCAGGCTCAGTTTCACCGAGGACTCAGCAGCCACCTCCACCATGCTGCACAGCTCAGCCTAGCACCCCTGCCTGGGGCAAAGAGCCACCTGCTGCCATGGGCAGCCCCAGTGTCGGGACTTGGCTAGATCCTCTTTGGACAGGAATCCCCAGCAGGCCTGGTCCTGGGGGCAGCAGGGAAAGCTCTAGCCCAGGGGTGGGCAAACTTTTTGGCCTGAGGGCCACATCTGGGTATGGAAATTGTATGGTGGGCCATGAATGCTCATGACATTGGGGGTTGGGGTGCGGGAGGGGATGAAGGCTTCAGCTGGGCTGGGGCCAGAAATGAAGAGTTCAGGGTGTAGGAGTGGGTTTCGGACTGGGGCAGGGGGTTGGGGTGCCAGGGTGGGGGTAAGGGATCCGGCTGCGGGCTCTGGGGTGGGGCTGGGGATGAGGGGTTGGGGGTGCAGGAGGGTGCTCCGGGCTGGGACTGAGGACTTTTCAGGGTGGGAGGGGAATCAGGGCTGGGGTTGCAGTGGGGGGGGGGGAGTCAGAGGTGCAGGCTCCATGTAGCGCTTACCTCAAGCAGCTCCGAAAAGCAGTGTCATGAACCCCCTCTGGCTCCTATGCAGAGGCACAGCCAGGTGACTCTGTGCACTGCCCTGTCTGCAGGCGCGGCCCTTCAGCTCCCATTGGCCGCAGTTCATGGCCAATGGGAGCTGCAGGGGCAGTGTGTGGAGCCCCCTGGCTGCCCCTAAGCGTAGGAGCCGGAGAGGGGACATGCCTCTGCTTCCAGGAGCTGCGCAGAGTGGGGCAAGCCCCTGACCCCGCTCCCTGGCTGGAACAGGGCAAGCCCCAGACCCCGCTTCGCGGCGAGAGCTTGAGGGCCAGAATAAAACATCTGGAGGGCTGGATGTGGTCCCCGGGCCGTAGTTTCCCCACCCCTGCTCTAACGATTGCTCTCCGCGAGTTTAAATTTTTCCTCCAACTGCCCCTTTAAACCTGCCTCCCTTAATTTGAGTGGCTGGGCATTCAACCAATCAGCGAAATACACATCCCAGCCAGAGCCCCGCCCCCCCAGCGAACCGGGAGGAGTGAACCACGCGGCCTCACCCTGGGGGTTACTTTGGAATTGTCTCAGCTCCGCGCCCACCCCCAGGGCGGGTTGTGCTTGTTCCCCGTTCGGGAGGGACGAGAAGGGTTAATGCACTAGCGCTCATTGCCGTTTGACTCCTTCCGCGTCCCTTCTACGCTCCCCCCTCCCTGCGGAGCCGGGTGGTACGGGCCGGCGCCCTGGGCGGAAGCAGACACGTTTCTCCTTCCCTTGGTGAGGCGGCCAGGGGGAGAATGGCGGCCCCGGGTAAGGAGCGGCCTCCCCCTCCCCTCAGGGCAGCCGCCCCTGCAGAGCGAGATGGTTCCGCCTGTCCGGGGTGATCCCGCTCCCTCAGGTGGGGGCCCGGGCCACTCGGTCTGGGGAGGAGCGCTCCCGGGCCGGTACGCGGCAGCCCCGCCCGAGCGCTGTGTGGCCGCCCAGGGAAGCGGCCCGGGCCCCGCCGTGCCCCGGCCCTAGGGCGGCTGGTCTGCCCGGTGCAGGGGGCGTGTGGGAGCCCCAGCCCTAGGGGCCCGGAATGGGGGGGGCGGGCTTGGGGGATCCGTTATCTCCCGGCCCGGGGAGTTTTTGTGGCCCCCGCTTCAAGCGGCCGGGGGCTGACCTAGCCACGAGGGGTTCCGGGTGTCGGTTGTGTCGTGGTGCTGGAGGAGGGAGGCGTCGCGGGTTCCCTGCGGATGGTCAGGCTCGGGACTTGCTCGGGCTCCTCTGGCAGTTCGTTCCCTGGGCGGCTCCCTTCCACCGAGCTTGCTTTCGGTCCCGCCCTTACCCAGGGCTCGGTGACCTGCGCTGTCCCAGGCGAGCAGGGCAGTCACACTGGCTCATAGATTGAAATTGGTCTTTAATGTCTTTGGGGCTTGATCCATTGATTGTTTTGAAAATTAGGTCAAAAGCCGTGAGCCCGACCTGATCCTCTTTCTTTGTTCTTCTGTTCTCTCTTTTTATGCAGTCGTCCCACCCCTTGTCATTCTTTTCCCCTTGCCTTTTCCCACAGGGCTGCCAGAATTGGACTGTCTAGCACTGTCTATTTCTAGTAGTGCCCTTGGCGATTTTCCCATCTGGCAGTGGAAAATACAGGTCAGCAGAGCACAATTGTGCAGTCGGGGTGCAATCCCACACTGAAATCTTTCCTGCACTTAGTTTCCCCAGCTGCCCTCTGACCAGCTCTCCCCCCTTGGGAGCCCTTTTGGTTACCTAGGAAACAAGTCAAGTCTTTAGCTCCGTAAATTGCTCACAGGGGACTCCTGGGTGATCCTGCACCTTAAGTATTGTCTTTCACGTGTCTATAATATTCTTGCAAAGCCTTATGTCGCCACTTCTGACTTGAACAGTTTTACTGGTCACTATTCAGAGTGTCAGAACTATTCAGTGGCTGCTGTGGGTTGTCGCTAGGGATCTGAGAGAGTATCACCTCTGCAGTGCTCCTAGCCTGTGCCATCCAGAAGAGTGAGAGACCAAAAGTGGCCTTCAAACTAAGTTCTCCTGCTCAGTTCTGTGGAGTTGATGGGCCAGAATAGTTATTTCCATTTGAAGTGTTTTCAAGTTGGGTGGACCACATGGCTAGTCCAGCAATGCCAACTATTCACTAATGCCAAACATGCCTTCTGCTAATGAAACAAAATGCACTCTGCTCAATAGCATCTTTCTTTTTTCAGGTTCACACACCCTCTTCCTCTTGGTTTTAATGGTTGTGGCCAGCATCCGAGCCCTGACACCTACCCATTATCTCACAAGGCGTGATGTGGAGAGACTGAAAGCTTCCTTGGACCGCCCATTCAATGATTTAGAAGCTGCTTTTTACGCCATTGTAGGACTCAGCAAGCTAGGAGTGCAAGTATCTGATGAACAAGTGAGGAGATGCTGCAATAAATTGTATAGTCAAAAAAAATTCACTTCTCTCCCTCTCACCCTTTTTTGTCATGAGATCTTTTTCATATGTTGTCAAATCCTAGGTTTGGAGACCAGTTGGAAGCATTTCTGCATATGAGTAACTTGGTTAGGTACTTCCTGTTGCACTAAGTGTTTCCAAAAGCAGTAACATTAGAACGGTGCCTGAAATAACTTACTAATATTAATTATTGGTCTTTTTTCAAGCTAAGTATCTGATTTTTCTTGGCATTTCTTGAGCTATTGTGTTGTACTGTGGAAAAAAATATAATACAAGAAGTGCAGCATTTTGTTGATCTGTGATCAGTAACACTGATTACTGTGAATTTTACCCCTACCATACCATATTACTATATTGCATTTTATTCGGGAAGACGCACAGCTACATTTTCCTCTACAGTAGATCATGCTTAATAACAACCCAGATATTAACAGATTCTGGTTAATAGCAACACTTTGCTGGGAATCGGTCCCATGCCATTTACTTCATTCTTAATGGGGTTTGGTACTGGCAACAGGCATGCAAGCACACAAGGACCTCACAGGAGGTAAGGGTCTGTAGGCTGCAAGGGGAGCAAGTGGCAGGGCAGTAAAAGGGAGAAGAGCTGCAGCTTGAATGCTCATGCTGCGTGGTACCTCTTACTGTGCTCTCCACGCAATTTTGCAGGGATGTAGCCAGGAGAGGCACCATCCCAGCACTTTCTTCCCTGGCTGCAGCCTTGCAAACCTGTCTTCTGCTTATTGGCAACTGCTGGATAATAGCAATGTTTTGCTGACAACTGAGGCGTTGCTAATAAGCTAATACTGTAGTTACTACTCATAAAATGTCAATCCTGACAAGACCATTCATTTTACTACATTAGCTTGTATTAGCATACCTTTCAACTCACTTTGTCATTGCTTCTCAACTGTGGGGAATGGCTTTTTGTCATGCTGGTTTACTCAAAATGTTTCACTTTCATTGAAATCAGATGACCACTTTGCAGTTGTTAAGTTGGAATTTGCACTGTGCTCCTGTCCCATTTCTAGTTGTTTTTTTTAGCGAGTATAGTGGAAAAACTCCCACATAATTTTCTCCTGTTGCCCTTGGCTATAATACAGATATATTTCTAGAGCGTGTATCACAAATATGTCCTAAGCTCCTAGCATCTTTACGCTCTTTTCCTACTACGAATAATTCCTCGATATCTTTAGCGTTTACATCTTTTAAACACGAGTAGATATCACATCACCCTACTCAGATGTCACCTAGTTAAGCTATACATAGTTATCTATTTCAATCCTTCCTCATAAATAGTTCCTCTAGCCCATTAATGGTAGTGTTGTTGTTCTCTGAACTCTCTCCATTTTGTCAGCAGTAGCGTAGCATTTGCTTACTGTCAATATGTGTTCAGTATGTGTGATTTTTCTACTTATTTTTTCTAGGTCTTATACTTTTTCGTGGTTAAGAGTGATAAGAACGGCCATACTGGGCCAGACTAATGGTCCATGTAGCCCAGGGGTTCTCAGCCTTTTTCTTTTTGAGGCCTCCCCAGCATGCTATAAAAACTCCACAGCCCACCTGGGCCGCAACTGTTTTTCTGCATATAAGGGCCAGGGTTGGGGGTAGCAAGCAGGGCAGTTGCTCGGGGGGCCCTGTGAAACTAGGTTGCTAAGGCGGTGAGGCTTTGGCTTTCTGCCCTGGGCCCCAGCAAGTCTAATGCCAGCCCTGCTTGGAGGACCCCTTGAAACAGAGCCTGGTTGCAGATGCTTCAGAGGCAATAGGAACAAGGCAATTGTCAAATGAGCCAACCCAAATTGTCCAGTCCCAGCTTCTGACAGAGATTTAGGGACACCCAGAGCATGGGGTTGCATCCCTGACCAGTTTGGCTAAAAGCCATTGATGGACCTGTCCTCCGTGAACTTACCTAATTTTTTGTTTAACCAGTTATACAAGTAGTAACAAAATGCTAGCCAAATAGTCATAATATTTTGATACTCAAAAATACTATGTAGTGTTTAGCTTCATCCAGTAGAATAAATGTATCCAAACCCTGTGGTACAGACTTTCTCTCCAGTTATTCAAGGAGCAGCTATTCATATAACATCTACAAATGGTTGAAAACTCTCTCCTATTTTTAACTTATGTGCCTTATCGTAATGATCTGACCTCTGCTTATCCCTTTAGTCTGTCAGTGAGAAACTTGTCATAGGATGCAGTGAAAAATTCATATTGCTTAACTTCAAGTTTGTATTTGTTGAGCTGATTTCCTTCCTGTTTATTTTTGGAAGTCTGGATTGTCATCTGTTAACCATTTCATGTTAAATTTACTGATCAACTGTGTTTTAATCTGTAAAATCACCATTCACATGGATTTCCTCTGTCCTTGAAGGGGTGGCTCTGCTAAATACATTTTAAGTCCAATATGGTTAGTAAAATTGGACACAATTTTAATTCAGCATTCATTTGCATTGCAGACAACATGCAAATGATTTCATCACTGGGCTTTCTAGAGTGTGTTTTCCTACTTTGGGTTTTTGGTCAATACAGGAATGAAGTGAATTGCATGTAGTTGTCTCCTTTGCAAAGAGTGTTTAAGGTCTTCTTAGAGTGTCCCTGAACTCCATTTTTAGTGGCAACAGGCGTGACTCAAATCATAAATTGACTTCTCTTTCTGCACAGGCTGCATGTAACTTCATCAAGTCTAACATGGATCCCAATAGTGTCGATTCCCTTTTCTATGCTGCACAAGCCAGTCAGGCTCTGTCTGGATGTGAGGTGAGTTCAAGCCCCTAATTATAGTAGTTTCAACATTTGCTCTTGTTCTTGGCCAAAACGACTTCTTCATCGTGTGTTAGCATGCTGTAAAGTGGTTGTGTTTTATTTTATGGTTTACAAAGTATTTTGGGATCCTCTAGGATCAAGACTATGATATAAAATCACCTTTTCCTAGAGGATCGCCAGGCATTTAATAAATCATACATATAAAATACAACAAAAACACAGCCACCTTGCAGGATACTAACAGCAGGGGGAAGTAGAAGTTGATATATAAACAAGTATTTTGATCCTGAACAATTCTGAACATTTGGACAAAAATTTACTTTCTTCACCTCACCTTGAGTTTTAATGAGGTAGAGAGCAATATAGCTTTTTTTTTACCTCAGCACCATCAGCATTTTCATGCAGGGGCATAGCTTTGAGGGCCTTATAATTTGTACATTCAAAAACTACATTAACATAACATTGCATGCTTGATTTTGCAACTTAAAGTTAGAAAATGCCAGATTTAGAGTGACCAGTGCAACCTTAATTCTGCCCCCTTGTGTGTCCATCCTGTGTACTGAATGCAGCAGCGGGCCCCGTAGAAAAGTATTATGTGGTCATATAATTAAAGACTGTGTCACAATACTCATATAATTAAAGACTGTGTCACAATACTCATGTATGCATAAGACCACTTGATTGCTAAGTTAGGTATGTGTCTTGTTACAAAATGTTCTTTAATATGTTCAAAATTCACATACAACCCAAACCTGACTATACCTGCCCCCATTGCTATACAGTCCTCACCATCAAGTTACTCTGTATCTTTTTGCCACGTGGCAACACTGGTGGTCATCCTGCAGATATCCCTTCTGCCCCTAGACGGTCACCCCCTTTTATCAACGCAAATTCCCCTCCACATCATTCCTGATGTCAGAGGATCTCAGGGTTGTGAAGGTTGCTGCCTGACCCTCCACCCCTAATGCCTTGACCAAGCAAACTGCATGCATGAACAGATAGCGGATATGGTATCTGAAGCAGAGCCAGCCTCTTTTGGGGTGGGGGGTAGTCTTCATGTTGTTTGGGCTCCTCTTGGTGAGTTATTGCATAGCCAAAAAAGGAGCCACTATCTTTTTGATAGGAATCACTAAAACTGGTCACATTATACTTTATAAGCACTTAGGGACAAGGACCATATTTTTGTTCTGTGTACAGCACCTACCACAGCGTGGCCTGGTCTGTGACTGGTGCTCCTGGATGCCATTGCAATACAAATATGATTTTTATTATTTAACCTAAAAAATGACAAATGACAGAGGACCTTTTCCCCCTACCAAATTCTGCCCATTCTTAGGTCAAATGTGGAGCACCCGTTCATTCTTGAGGACAGATTAATTTAAACATGGTCTTACATTTTCTGTGTGTTCTGTCTCAGGTTGCCATTTCAAATGAGACCGGAGAGCTGCTTCTTGCAGCTGTCAGTGAGGATTCCTCAGTCAACCAGATCTTCCATGCCGTCGGAGCCCTGAGTGGCTTTGGGCTTCCTCTAGCATCCCAGGAAGCACTTAGTGCCCTCACTTCTCGTCTTAGCAAGGAAGAGAACGTCCTGGCGTAAGTTTTGCACAAAATAAAACAATTCACTCAGCTGCATATTCATCCTTTGTAAAGATGGCTTCTTTTAAAGTGAAGGGCACTTGCACATGTATGGGGTTTTTTTTATAATGCAGATTTAGTGAATTAGACACTGTATTTCCAGCGGTGACTTCTATCCACTCCAGTGTCTATTGCTTGGGAGAATAAAATGCTTGTGAATGAGCGGGTGAAAATATGCTCTCTTCCCTTAATTGTTCACCTTCAGGTTTTGCAAACCAGTTTTTAATATTTTCATTTTAGTTTAAGAACAATGAACTTAGAAGAAACTGACTGGCTTTTTAAAAAAAAAAAAAAAAAAAGTTCATTTGTTTTGATCTCTGTAGAATCTGGCTTGTTCTGCCTCAATCTGCTCACAGGTCGAGAGAGCTAATGGGGGGGGGGGGGGAATCCTTTGTCTGGTGACACAAGCATTGTGATATTTAGCATCAGAAGAATTTAATAGCTTTATTCGAGTTGATGAGCTTGGAAAGAGAATGCAGCTGTTCCTAAGAAGGTGGGGAAGAAGAGAGAAAGCTTTATAGGTGCTAAGACACTCAACTCCCACTGACAGACAACGGGAGATCAGCACGTCAGCAGATTGTAGTATTGGGACCGTTGATGGCTCAGACCTCTGAAGTTTCCTCCACTGATTGGCAGTGATTTGACAATATTATCTCACAAGGTGTGCTCCACAAGAGCAATTTCTGTGTTTTGAGCATCCAACTGAGGCTCTAAATAAGAAGCTCTGTCCTGCCAGTATTATAACGTCAATGCAGTTTGTTTGACACTCGTGTCAATCAGTGTTTTAGTTCGCTTATTAGGCAGGAAATGTACTCAAGAAAACCAGATCCTATGTGTAATAAGCACTCACTTTGCCAGTGAATAACTTGCGAATCGTGACCAAAATGGACATTTACTATTAAACATCCTGTCAGAAAAGTACATTTGATTGAAAGTCTTGACCCAATCTTTGTATACTTTGCTTGTAATTACACCCATTCCTTTTCCCACACCCAGCTCTAAGCAATTTTCTGCTCACTTTAAAAATATGCTGAGTAATTTTGTGTAGTACAGATAAGTGGTAGCAAGAAAGTAGAGACCTGAACATCCATCTTTAAAAAGGGGAAGAGGGGGTTTGTGAAAACTGTTACACCCCGAGAGTGATCACTGTAATTTAACACTGTAATTTTAACACTGTAATTTACTTTGAATAATGGTAGGGCCCAGACTTTCAAACGTAAGTTCCTAATGTCAGGCCCCAAATCCATATTTAGGGACTTATACAGGTGTTCTCATTTTCACAAGTGTTGATAGCAGTTGTGCCCGTCCAAACTTCTGGATTCTTATCGTCTCTGGGACTTCTGGATTCTTATAGTCTCTGGAAATCCTTAAGCACTGAAATGCAAAAAAATTGACTTAAGGATTTATCAGTAATGCAAGTACAGTATTTTTTTTTATACATGCATTTTCCTTAACCCAAAAGTGTCCCTTTACTTGACATAGCTGAAATTAAATATTCAGTTTCCCGTGTACGTCTTCAGGTTTCTATTGCCCCCTGAGCGCCCCCTCCACATTCCCAAATCGACTGACGGAATGTACTATCTGCCTGTGTTTTCCATTTCAACTGTAATTCAAACTGTGTAATTGCTTTGGTTTTAACAATGTTACGCTTTTAAACGGGTAAAATCACACACTACTTGCTCATCCCTGCTTTGATTTTCATTGTTCCAGAACCATTCAGGCATTACAGACAGCATCTTACTTGTCCCAGCAGGCAGACCTGAATGGCATTGTGGAGGAGATAGAGGTAGGAACTTGCTTTATTCTTAAATTGCTGAGGCAGTCTTTAGAAATCTGCAGCTCTGAAAGATTGTTTTAGAATGCAGCATTGGCTAACTCCCTCCTACCCTGCAGTGCTGGAGTTTGTTCCAAAATTCCTGTCAAAGCAGAATTCTTCCCTGTGAATAAGGTTGAACAAGTATGTGGACTCTAGCTCTAACAAAAGTGACCTTAAATTCACATTAAACCCAGAAAATTACTAGGGTGGTTCAAGCCAATTAATGCCTTTATTTACTACTTCTGGTTTTTTTCTCAAAACGATGCAAGAATATTTTCACACGGTCCTAATAATGTAGGACTGGAAGGGATATTAAGACATCATCTGGTCCAGCTCCCTATGTTGAGGCTGGACCAAGTATATTAGACCATCCCTAACGGGTATTTCTCTAACTTTTCTTTGAAAACCTCCAATGTCGGGGATTCCCCAGCCTGCCTTGGATACCTATTCCACTGCTTACCTATCCCTATAATAAGAGAGTTTTTTCTGGTGTCTAAGCTAAATCTCCCTTGCTGCAGATTAAGCCCATTACTACTTGTCCTACCTTCAGTGGACATGGAGAACAATTGATCACTGTGCTGCTTCTAATAGCCCTTAACATATTTGAAGACTGTTATCAAGCCCCATTTTCAACATTTCCTCATAGATTAGGTTTTCTAAACTTTTTATCACATTTGTTGCTCTCCTCTGCACTCTCTCCAATTTGTCCACCTCTTTCTTATAGTATGGTGCCCAGCATTTGACACACAGTACTCCAGCTGGGGCCTCACCAATGTCCAACAGAGCCATGCAAATACCTCCTGTGTCTTACATACGACACTCCTGTTAATACAACCCAGAATGATATTAGTCTTTTTTGCAACTGCATTACATTGTTGGCTCATATTCAGTTTGTCATCCACTATAACCCCCTTTTCTACAGTACTACTGCCTAGCCAATTATTCCTCATTTTGGGGATGTGCATTTGATTTTTCTTTCCTAAGTGTAGTACTTTGCACTTGTCTTTATTTAATTTCATCTTGTTGATTTCAGACCAATTCTCCAGTTTGTCAACGTTGTTTTGAATTCTAGTCCTGTCCTCCAAAGTGCTTGCAGCTTCTCCGAGCTTGGTGTGATGTGCAGATTTTATAAGAGTACCCTGCACTCCCATCATCCAAGTCATTAATGAAAAGCTGAGCTCTGCAAAACACCACTAGATACATCCCCCAAGTTTGACAGCAAACCATGAATAATTACTCTTTGAGTATGGTCTTTCAACCAGTTGTGACTCACCTTATAGCTATTTCTGTATATAGCTTTTCAGGTATCAAAGTTAGGCTGACTAATCTGTATTTCTTTGGGTCCTCTTTGTTCCCCTTTTTAAAGAGAGGTACTGTGTTTGTCTTTCTCCAGTCCCCTGAGACCTCACCTGTCCACCATGAGTTCTCAAAGATAATTGCAATCATTCCAAGATTGTTTCAGCTACTTCTTTAAGTGCCAAAGGATTAATTTCATCAGGCCCTGCCAACTTGAATACATCTAACTTATCTAAATATTCTTTAACCCTGTTTTTCCTATTTTGGCTTGTGTTCCTTCTCCCCCTTGTTGTTAGTAGTACTTATATTGAGTATCTAGTCACAGTTTACCTTTTAGTGAAGAGTTATGCAAAATAGGCATTAAATGACTACTTGATGTTGTCCATTATTAGCTCTCCTTCCCTGCTAAGTAGAGGACCTACACACTTCCCTTTGTCTTTCTTTTGTGCCTAATGTATTTAAAGAACCTCTTTTTATTGCCTTTTATATCTTAGCCTTTCTAATTTTGTCTATAGACGTTTTTGCTATTCTTTTATATGTTCACCCTTAGCAATTTGTCCCATGTTTCTATTTTTTGTAGGAATCCTTTTAATATTCAGGTTATTAAAGAGCTCCTAATGGAGCTATATTGACCTCTTACCATTCCTATCTTTTCTTCTCATTGAGATAGTTTGCTGTTGTGCCTTTTAATATTGTCTCTTTGAGAAACTGTCAGCTCTCCTTTCCCTTAGATTTTCTTCCCAGGAGACCTTACCTAACAGGTCTGAGTTTAAAGTCTGCTTTGGCCTTGTTCTGCTGCTCTCACTCCTTTCTTTTCTTAAAATCTTGAAATCTCACTTCATGATTGTTTTCACCCAAAATACCTTCAACCTTCAGATTTACAACCAATTCCTCCATGTTAGTCACAATCATGTCTAAAATGACTGTCCCTCTAGTTACTTCCTCTACCTTCAGAAATGACAAGTTATCCTCAGTACATTCCAGTCACTTACTGGACATCCTTTTATTTTGCCATACTAGTTTTCCAACAGATATCTGGGTAGTTAAAGTCCCTCATTACTACCAGGTCTTGTGTTTTGGATATTTTCATAGCTATAAAGGTTGTTCAGATTACAGTAGAAAAAATTCTCATAGTGATCCCAATACAAATACTCCATGAATGTACGTGTAATAGATGGAATTAATCTCAGTAGTTCTGCTGTCAGTGGTACTTGTCTTTACTTTTCATACAGTTTTTCTCTCTTGTTGCTGCCAGGACCTTGTTGCCCGCTTGGATGACCTAGGTGGGGTATATCTGCAGTTTGAAGAAGGACTTGAGACTACTGCATTATTTGTTGCTGCTACTTATGGACTGTCAGACCATGTGGGTACAGAGCCAGCGATGAAGGAGGTATGTACCAGATCCTATGATCCAGAGGGTATAGTAGCTGGTAAAAAAACACTTGTGAAAGAACATTAATTATTGTATCTGGAGATCATTAAAAGGTGTAAGCAGCATGTGTAACTGAGGTCAGAATTTGACCCATAGGAAGCTGGTAAAAGGGAACTATGCAAGCGCCCATTATTTAACTACCAGCCAGGAGGAAAGTTGGTCTTAAGTACCACAGATATAAAGAATTATTCTCAAATTTACCAAAGGAAAAGGCAGTTGCATCCTAGATTTTCTGTTTATTGAGGGAATTTGTTGAAATAGATTGAAAAAAGAACCCAGTGTTTTGGCGGCTGTTCCCTATATTTCACATTTCATATAGCACTCTGAAACCAAACACCTTAGTTTGTGACTCCTTAAATGGAGAGGTCTACCTGATTTCTACAGAGAAATATACTCGGGAGGGAAGTAGTCTTCCAATAATGTACTCTTAGGACATGAATCTAAGCACAAAAGTTTGGTTCTCCGACACTATGAGCATCAGTAGGCAGAACAGAAATATGTACATAGCGAGAGTAGATAGAAATTAGGGCTGTCAAGTGATTAAAAAAAATTAATTGCAATTAAAAAATGTTTTCTACATTTTCAAATATATTGATTTCAATTACAGCACCGAATACAAAGTGTACAGTGCTCACTTCATATTTATTTTTCATTACAAATATTTGCTCTATAAAAAAAAACAAAAGAAATAGTATTTTTCAGTTCCCCCATTACAAGTACTGTAATGCAATCTCTATCATGAAAGTTGAACTTACAAATATAGAATTATGTACAAAAAAACCTGCATTCAAAAACAAAACAATCTAAAACTTTAGCGCCTACAAGTCCACTCAATCCTACTTCTTGTTCAGCCAATCACTAAGACAAACAAGTTTGTTTACATTTGCAGGAGATAATGCTGCCCGCTTCTTATTTACAATGTCACCTGAAAGTGAGAATAGGCGTTTGCATGGCACTGTCATAGGTGGCGGTGCAAGATATTTACATGCCAGATGTGCTAAAGATTCATACGTCACTTCATGTTTCAACCACCATTCCAGAGGACGCGCGTCCATGCTGATGACAGGTTCTGCTCTATAACGATTCACAATGGTGCAGACTGACACATGTTCATTTTCATCTTCTGAGTCAGGTGCCACCAGCAGAAGATTGATTTTCTTTTTTGGTGATTCGGATTCTGTAATTTCCGCCTCAGAGTGTTGCTCTTTTAAGACATCTGAAAGCATGCTCCACATCTCATCCCTCTCAGGTTTTGGAAGGCACTTCAGGTTCTTAAACCCAGGGTCGAGTGCTGTATATATCCTTAGAAATCTCACATTGGTACCTTCTTTGCATTTTGTCAGATCTGCAGTGAAAGTGTTCTTAAAATGTACGTGTGCTGGGTCATCATCCGAGACTGCTATAAAAAGAAATAGATGGCAGAATGAACGTCATCAGCATGGAAGCATGCATGTCCTCTGGAATGGTGGCCAAAGCATGAGGGTGCATACAAATGTTTAGCATATCTGGCACGTACATACCTTGCAATGCCGGCTACAAAAGTGCCTTCCCAACGTCTGTTCTCACTTGCAGGAGACGTAAATAAGAAGCCGGCAGCATTATCTCCTGTAAATGTAAACAAACTTGTTTGTATTAGCAGTTGGCTGAACAAGAAGAAGGACTGAGTGGACTTGTAGGCTCTAAAGTGTAAAAGGGTTTTGTTTTTGAGTGCAGTTATGTAACAAAAAAAATCTACATTTGTAAGTTACACTTTCACGATAGAGATTGCACTACAGCACTTGTATGAGGTGAATTGAAAAATACTGTTTATTTTGTTTATCATTTTTACAGTGCAAATATTTGTAATAAAAAATAATATAAAATGATCACTGTACACTTTGTATTCTGTGTTGTAATTGAAGTCAATATATTTGAAAATGTAGAAAAACATCCAAAAATAGTTAATAAATTTCAGTTGGAATTCTGTTGTTTAACAGTGCAATTCATCGCGATTAATTTTTTTTTTAGTTAATCGCGTGAGTTAACTGCAATTAATCGACAGCCCTAATAGAAATCATTATTGCGAGCCCTCTGCAGGATCATTTACTTAGTGTCTTTTAGGGTACAGTTCACTGAACCTCAATGTACTATTATAACCTGCTTTATGTAAGGACCTCAAAAAAGAAGCTATGCTGAGCCACTTGGTGCATCATTCAGGTAATAGCAGCAATGGAGGGGGTTGAGCATGACGCCTGTGTACGGAATCTGAGTTCATTCTTGGCCCTTTTTCATGCTGCTGCCAACAGACTTGATGCTGGAGTAATTTGGATGTCGCTTTTGACACCGAGGTTCTGGTGAACACAGTCGCACATTTCAGACTGTCAGAGTACCAAGACAGAAAAAAATAAATTGGTCCAATTAGAGAAAATTGTTTAGCGTTGATTCTAAATCAGACTGTCAGGAGCTCTTTTGTTGGATGACTTTAACTGAATGGGGAAAATACCTCTTTTTCAGAAGCCACCCAAGTTATTTTAAAGTTTAGCGGGTTTATAATATTTAAAACAACTCCCCTTACCGTTTTCATGGTGTTAAACCAGTGTATCTGTTGACGATTAAGTCCCCGATCCCTCAAGATGCTCTGTTCTGGAGAAGAGCACTTGGTGAAATTGGCACGTAATAGAGGATCTGATGCTTCCATCTGGGTGCCTTCAGTTGGGGTCTCATGTCCACTGACCATCAGTAGGTGCAAACATGAGAAAAATGAGACATCAGTAGATATGAACACAGTGGAAACTGAGCAACTAGAGGAACTTTAAATGTGTTTGAGAAAACTAAAAGGAGATTGTTTAGGAGGTGACTGTGGCGGGTGGTTTTGGTCCGGTTTTGTAATGATAAACAAACTGTATACATTCCTCGGATATTGGGCGGACACTCTGGGACGTGAGGTGTATATACAGGCCTCTTATTGGCTTTGAGTACAATGCCATTTTCATATCCAAAGTTGGCCCCAATGCCTGTGCTTATATCAAGGGGTAGCCTTATATTTTTAAACAAATAGGAATTCTAAAGATTCTTTATTTATTCAGGCTTCACCCTTGTGTCTTGTGCTGGGAACTCTAGACCCAAGAACAAGAATCCTAAGTCTTTAGTCTAAGAATCTAGTCTGCAGAAGAGAAGAATGAGGGGGGATTTGATAGCTGCTTTCAACTACCTGAGAGGTGGTTCCAGAGAGGATGGTTCTAGACTATTCTCAGTGGTAGAAGAGGACAGGACAAGGAGTAATGGTCTCAAGTTGCAGTGGGGGAGGTTTAGGTTGGATATTAGGAAAAACTTTTTCACTAAGAGGGTGGTGAAACACTGGAATGCGTTACCTAGGGAGGTGGTAGAATCTCCTTCCTTAGAAGTTTTTAAGGTCAGGCTTGACAAAGCCCTGGCTGGGATGATTTAATTGGGGATTGGTCCTGCTTTGAGCAGGGGGTTGGACTAGATGACCTCCTGAGGTCCCTTCCAACCCTGATATTCTATGATTCTAAGGTTCAACCCAGTCGAAGTATAGGTAACTAACCTTCCATTGTTACAGGGCTGACCTAATAATAGTTTAAACAAAATGAATTTAAAATAAAAGAAACATCAATCTTGTGGCTGTTGGGTACTATATTTGTATTTGTATGAGACTATTTTGCCAATCATATCTGCAGAGAGATCTAAGGTAAAATCACCGGCGTATAAGTCAAAGCTTCTATTCCTGCACAAGGAGGTTTTTAGCACTTTGTTAGGCTGGGCCCTTCTCAAATGTTGGGGAAAGTGGCCCTCCCTCTCCTTCCTTACCCGCCACCCCCCCATGTTTGGCTGACATGATTGGTTCCTCTTTGTTTCAGGATCAGATAATCCAGCTGATGAATGCAATTTTTAGCAAGAAGAACTTTGAGACACTCTCTGAGGCCTTCAGCGTGGCTTGTGCTGCAGGTTCTTTATCCCAGAACCGCTACCACTTGCCCATCATCGTCGTCCCTGATGGGCCAGCAGCTGTGTCTCATCATCAACCCATTCTCAGGGTGAGCTCCTAGACTTGCATTTGTCCATAATCTTCTTGGCTCAATCTGCAGTGTTACAGGGATGGGAAGCCTTCGTGCATTGGATAACTCCTTTCACTTCTGGCACCAGGGCTCAAGTGCGTACTTAATTCCTAAAACCCACATTTAGTACCTATGTGAAATGAGTCTTATGGACCCCTGTGTACTGGGGATTAAGCAGAGACACCACCACAAAAAGCACCAGAGTGTTCCGTGTAATTGCTTTTATTAGGAGAATTAATAATGTTTCTGATCATGATATGAAGGCATCATAAGGAACTAGGTAGATTGAGGATGCTGTGTTTCAAACTTGACATGTTTGTCAATCAAATCATGGGGAATAGTAGTAGAGGGCAGGGGATTCCTACAAGTGAGTTGTCTTTGGATGCTTCTCCGTCTTCCAAGAATTAGCTCCCTGAGGGGTAGCCTTCCCAGAAATGTGAATCGTACTCTTACTAATCACGTTTTCTCTTTCTAGCTGCAAGTGACCAATGTCATGTCACAGCCACTGACTCAAGCAGCTGTGAAGCTAGACCATGCCAAGTCTGCTTCTACCAAAGCCACTGTCCTTCACCAGATGCCGTTTGCCATTTCAGGGTAAGGAACAAACCTGTTTCTGCTGTTTGACATAAAGGAGCAACCTCTATTATTATAATAGTGGATTTTTTCCCCTCTTCTCTGCCTCTCATAAGAAAGAAACGCTTCTTAAATGATGGAATACTCAAGACACAATAATGATTTATTGGTGAGCGTAGTGACTTTGAGTGCTCTTTAGTAATGATACTGAATCATTGCCACATGTCATTTCCCCACTGATGCAATTCTCCCCTCCCAACAATATTTCTGACTGCTGGGAGGGAACATATGGTGCTTCTCCTCTTTCCCTAACTCCTTGGATGGATGAAGAATGATTTTGGCAGTACTGAGCTGTCTGCTTAGGACTGCTTTACTTATTTTGGGTAGTGTGGTATATGCTTATCCTAACTGTTTGCTCTGACACCAGACTTGCACCTGGGATGTGGACTTAATGAGAGCCACATATGGTGCTCTAAACAACCACGTTTGGGGTTACTGCCATAATCTATCCATTCAGACTCATCTAGCAAGGGTTTGTGAGGGTGAGATGGAGTTGCCCCACCTTCAAAAGAAATGATCATTCCTGACCTCCATTTTACTGTGTACATCCACTCTGTTATAAACTTACTGTTCCTCTGCTCATGACCGTTAACCATTGCAGTTGCTGTAGATAGAGCATCTCGTACGTCTTTGCCTACAAGAAAAAATGCTGTAATAAAACTACAATGTAGTGTACCTAGAAAATATCAGACTTAAATGTAGAAGATATCTTTATTTTTGGAAGGGTGAAAGTCTCTTCTCACCCAGAAATGCTGTATTCATGCTAATATTTTTCAATTTTTATATGCTGCTTCTCTCAGATACTTGTAAGCTGTAGTAGAGGAAAATCTAGTATACCTTGCTCTTTGGAGTCTTTCACTTCTGTATAGTTGCACAAGTTTCCCATATGGGTATTGTAGAGCATGTGTTTTCTGTTCTTTATATCTCTGCTCTTGTTGTCACAGAGACATCTTTGAGCTGAACTTCATGAATGTCAAACCTGCCAGTGGATATTATGATTTCTCCATCAGCGTTGATGGTGACAGTCGATTAATTGCAAACAAAGTTGAGGTGCGTGTGTTTTGATTGCTGTCTAATTGTGAAGTGTTTATTCAATGGAACTACTTTTAATTTAGACCATATGAAGATCTGTCCCATTGTACTGAATGTGTGCCATCACAATCTTCTGCAAAGCAACAGACTTTGATTTAGCCTAAGGGGGTTGAGCATGGGGCTCAGAGTCAGGAAACTGGGGGCAGAAGGGTGTGAATTCCTCTGCCACTGGCCTGCTCTGTGACCTTGGGGCAAGTCGCTTCACCTGTTTGTTTCCCTTTGTGTAAAATGGGCATAAAGAGCCTGGAAATCTACTGATGCAAAGTACGGTCTAAGAGTTGGGTATTATTATTGTTATGGCTTTGCCTCAGGATCAGAAACTAGATCTGGAGGGGGCAAGGAAGGGGATCAATTAGTTATTTCACTGATTATTAATCACTTAATAGGTAATATTTGTACATCAGATACAGAGCAAAGATTAGTAATGTTGGCGATGTAAAGCAACTGTTTGCATAACATCTATTAGTATGAAATAAGGGAAAAACTCACTAGAAATGTTGGTTCTCCAAGCTGTTCAGAATTTGAGCCCATAAACTTCAGGATGTGGTTAAAGAGCCATGTTACACAGTTCCTTATATAACTTGAAAATTAAGTAGTTGATCTTTTTTTGTCTTTGTATGTACTCTACATCTACAGTCAAACTTATGTTCCTTTCATCCTGAAAAGAGGGAGACATGGATGTTCGGTTCGTGTCAGAGCAAGACTGAGAGAGTCAAGTTGTGGGTGCAAATTAAAAAGCGCTTGTTCAAACACACCTCTGCTAGTAGAAACAGTCGCCCGCTACCTGTTGTTCAAGGAAATGTAGTTGTGAATAAATGTTTGGGATTCTACTTTTTCCCCAGATTTGCTCCAGGGAGAACGTTCCATTCACAAAGTCACTGCAGTGGTGACAGTTGGGAACAATTGTCACTCTCCTCAAGTGATGATGTGTATTCTGGGGGGTTAACTTTTTGCCCTCAGTTGCTGCTAATGAAAAAATTAGCATTTAAAATCTTACCGTTCAGTCGGCACAGAATGGCAGGGAGGAGGACACTTATTTACAAGTGCTGGCCTCTGCCATGCATATCAAATTGGCATTGTAATTGTAGTAATAATCGCACTTAGAGTGTCAGGAAGGGATTGATGGTCTCGCTTAAACTCTCTAGAGGCATGTGGCGCCAGGGGGAATGCATTAATGCCCATGGCTTTGTGTGATTGTCTCCTAATAATAAGACTCATTGTTAGCAGGGAGGGCTGCGGGGGAGCTGTGTGTTCGGAGGCTGTCATTACCATTAATTGTCCCTAATGCACAGTAGTTTTTGACTGTAATGAGCTAAACTGCAGGGTTATTACTCCATGTGGAGAGACTGCATTTCCTGGCATTAAAATATTTGTGAGATGGGCTTGTGTGTAATAGTCAGTAAAGGGAACTTTACAGAATAGCACTGAGGTGCTCTCAGTTGCCTTTAAAACTGGAAGTGGATCGGATTCTCACTTCCTTTGTTCCTGTCCTAGAACCAATATGAAGTTCTGTTCTCTGGCTAGTTTGGGGCAGGATCCACTAACAAGGAGAAATCTTATGGGTAACATCCCTATTGAAATCTCTAATTCTCAGCTGTAAAGAAACAGTCAAGATTGTCAGAGCCAATCTTTTTTTCACTTCGAACAGTGCAAATAAAGTTCTTTATGTAAAAAAATTCGCTTGTGTAGCAGGGTTTGGCGCTCATGAGCAACCGTACAGTAACAAACCGTAGTACATGATGGGAAATCATCTTGGCAATGAACAGATTTTTAACTCTCCAAGGAATGCTTTTATAAGATGATGTGAAGGCCAAAATTATAACAGGGTTCAAAAAAGAATTCTAGAAGTTCATGGAGGATAGGTCCATCAATGGCTATTAGCCAATGTGATCAGGGATGCAACTCCACACTCTGAGTGTCCCTAGCCTGTGACTGCCAGGAGCTAGGACTGAACGACAGGGGATGGATCACTCAATGACTGCCTGTTCTGATCATTCCCTCTGAAGCACTTTGTATTGGCCACTGTTGGAAGACAGGATACTGGGCTAGATGGACCAGAGCTCTGACCCAGTGTGGCCATTCTTATGTGAGGAGAACAAATGTGCTAATTAAAAGCTCTACTCTGTAGCGACTATTTATGATTGGGAGGAAGCTGGATGTAAATCCCACTTGATTTGTTTGGTTACTTGGATTGTCAACTCTTGGGGCAGGGGCTGTTCTATTTGTACAGCACCTAGCACAGCAGGGTCCTGGTCTGTGACTGGGGCTCCTTGGGACCACGGCAGTACAAATAATAACTTGACTTTAATCATAAAGGAGAATTTGCTAAATCGAAGTAGAGGCCAGTTGCATTTCTGAGTCTTTTGGCTTTGCCTGGTGGTAGGAGATTGTGCAGAAAGACCTACCAGAGGTCTAAGGCAAGAAAAGTATAGCAGGTTACTGTCAGACTTGTTGGCTAGATATTAATAGGAACTGAGAAAGGTAGAAATGTATTTTAAAAACTGCGAGCAGAGTAACATGCATAGTTTCCATTAATTTTAAAAAACATATAGTGGGATCTAGTTGCTTGAACCATCTTCCTATCCTGCCCTTTGAAGAGGGGTACTGTTATCTAAAAAGGGTCAAGTAACCACCTGACCATAATAGACAAGCTGTACTTTACTGATCTCAGTGTGAGGTCTGGATTGTTGGCGCATGAGTGCAGGGGTTGGTATGGGAGTATATTCTTAATGAATGATCAGTCCTGGTCAGATTTGTTTCTGCCCTTCTTTCCTCTCTACCCCACCCCCAAATTCTGGCAAAGGGGGTATTTCAAACCTGTTTTTGATTACCTCTTAGGCATCTGGGAGTAAGGGGGATTTCTAGACTTATAAAGGAAAACGCTGGCATGAACTGTCTGTGTACGTGTACTGTTAATTTCCCTATTATGCTTGGCTGCAGTTGAAAGTAAAGGTCTCCACAGAAGTTGGCATTACAAATGTGGATCTTTCTACTGTGGATAAGGATCAAAGCATTGCACCAAAAACCACAAGGTAAGGCAATAGTGTGTGAGATGCACTGGTAAATGACAATATTGAGCCGAGGCCACTGCTCAGTACCTCCTAATCTTCTGCTATGGAAGCTCAAGTAGTCTTTTGTTTCTAAACATCATCAGAAGTGTATCTGTGCCTTCTCCTTTCAACTCACAAATCCTTGAGAGCTCACTGGGGGGAAGTGGCTTTTTTTAACTGAAGAAAGTGGTGACAGAAGCTAGACAAGCCCTCAGTTATTTCTATGCAGCTATTTCATATTGACAATGCTCAAGTTAGCAGATATAACTAGTTAAAATAATGGCTTAAGTGCTCGTGGTATTGGCAGATTTCATCTAGAGGAACCTCTGAGACGAATGTGTGGTGTAGGGTCATGCTACTGCAAGTAGAGCTGGGTGAAACTTGTCAGCTGAAACTTTATTTTCAGGGAAAAATGCAGATTCGGCGACTCTGAAATGTTTTGCCAAATTGTTTCAGCCAAAAAATTCTGAAAGTTAAAACCTCTTGTTTTGTCATTTCCAAAACATTGAGTTGGGGGTGGTAAATTTTCATTTTGAATTTTTCTTCAATTTTATATTTTTAAAATGCAAAGGAAACATTTTGTTTCTGGTCAAACAAATAGCTTCGTTCGACCCCAAACCAAATTTTTTTTTACTTTTCACTTTTCTGGAAATTTAGTTTTCAGGGTTGTTGGTTTTTTTGAACTGCCAGCAAACCAAGAAATCCATTATTTGCACAGCTCTAACTGTAAATCATTTTTTGTGGGGTTTCTTTAAATCCAATATTTTTCCCCTTAAAATACACACTATACAAATAGCTTGCAGAAATAAATCATGCTAAATCATTACTTTTTCCCCCTCAGTTTTGTGGGAGGGTAGTGATGGAACAGAGATCCATTTTAATTCTCTGAACTGATGGTCTGTTTTATCAAGTAATCTGCAGTAAGTCCCCCATGAGTAAATCATGACACTGTTAGCCAGACTTGCATGTCAGTCACTCCAAACACTCTGTTGGAAAACCATCTCTAATCATTTTTTTATTCCGCCGCCTCCTCCCTAGGGTAGCTTATCCAGCCAAAGCCAAAGGATCATTCACAGCTGACAGCCATCAGAATTTTGCCTTGTCCTTCCAGCTGGTGGATGTGAACAGTGGAGCTGAGCTCATCCCTCACCAGGTCAGAATGAATTTATGTAGTTATCCTGTCATCTGGATGCTGCTTCTTGAGGCATCTTAGGCAGCAGTTGCTCTTTGAAAAGCTTTCTTAGGCTTTGAAAACCATCCTGTTGTCTGTGTTTGAAACAAATTGTGATGGGAAAATGGTAGATAAATACTTTGTGCACCCAAAAGGGAGGGAAATAAGATTGGATCTGAACAGAGTGAATCTAGTTCTCTTATTTTGTTTCATTTTAAATAAGCCTCTGCTAAGCTTTACTTCATGGCTTATTTAGAGAAACAAATACAGAGAGGAGGAAGTTTCATCCTGTGCTGTAAAAGTGCATTTCTACCTTGGACACAGAATGTTCCCTGAAACTCTGATGCCTAAGGGTTGCATTTGATGTAGCAACCTCGTGGTCCATAGACCAGGCATGTGTCGATCGTAAAACATTGCACGTAGAGCTAATTGCAGCCACAGCAGGAAATGCCTGGCACCCAAGAGACTTTGTGGACTGCTCTGGTTCCTGTATTAGAGTGTGGCTACATTGGGAAGGATTGTGCTGAAGCAATTCAGTAAGGTGCCCAGTAGTCAGGACTCCTGAATTCTATTTCTAGCTCTGCCACTGAGTCACTAACTTTAGGCAAATCACTTGCTACCATGTGCCTCAGTTTCCCCATCTGTAAAATATGAATACTTGCCTGCCTGCCTCATTTGTGTCAAAACCAAGATTTCTTCCTGTGATGAAAATCTCTCTCTAAGTATTAAGCCATTATCACTTTCCTTCTCAGACATTTGTCCGTCTTCACAACCCAAAGACTGGGCAGGAGGTGGTGTTTGTCGCAGAACCAGACAGCAAGAATGTGTACAAGTTTGAACTGGACACTGCTGAGAGAAAGACAGAGTTTGATTCTGCCTCTGGTACCTACACCCTTTACTTGATAATTGGAGATGCCACTCTGGAAAATCCAATCCTGTGGAATGTGGTATGTTGCCGACTGTGCAGTGACATGGTTGTGGGATCACTGACAGTGTAGCGAGACGCAATAATAGACGCCTAGAAGAATAAAGAGACAAATGCTGTAGTTCTGTGTGGCTGATCTTGCTTCCTTTGATGGCATATGTAGACTCTTGGTTTTAAAAAATATAATATATATACATACTGATAATATATATACATAATATATATACATATATATATACTAGTCGTGCAAAAGCAAGACTAGAATGACTTTTCAGCTCTGTGTATCATGGTTGAGCAGCCATGGAACAGGCTCTCTGAGATCAATCTTGTACTGACTGGGCATAGGCTCAGAGGCAAGCCTTCCCTGGAAGTAACTTGTGTGTACCAGCTGGGATTTGAACATATCCAGCTGTACAGTGCTAAATGAAGGGCATTCCCTTCCCTGTTCAGAAAAGGAAATGTCAGTTTAAAATGCAATTCAGTAGGTCTGTGTGGTAAGTTGTTCGTTGTAGTGTGGCTGAATTTCTTAGTCGTCTTTAATGCTTTCATTATGTTGGGGAATCTGTCTCGGGGGTGTGTGTGAAGGGGGGGTGTAATAGCCTTTATAGATCATACACCAGAGTCATAGCTTTCTAAGTTTGTTCAATTCCATTTCAGGCTGATGTTATTATCAAATTCCCAGAGGAAGAGACTCCATCCACAGTCCAGTCAAAGAAGCTTTTCATTCCCAAGCCAGAAATCCAGGTACAGCTCAAAAGATGGGAATGAATTCTATTTTTGATACCCAGTTTCACTTTTACCCTTATCAGTGACAGTCTTAAAACGTAGCCTTCCATATGAGAGCATCGTCACCATGTTAGTGATGCCCATTGGAGGAAAACAAAAATAACTTCTTGGTGGATAGGGGCTTGCATTACTTATCAGTAGGCAGAAATAAGCTCTGTGTCCCAGTGGCGTGGCAACAAAATATTGTGCCATCATTGAGGAGATCCAGATCTGAGCAATGGGAACACATAGTTTTGTTAGAGATCACACTTTCTATGCTTCATCAAATGGAGACCAACGAAAGCTTCCAGCTCCTAAAGATCGATCTCTCTCACACTCTCCCTTCAGGTCAGCTCATGGAGTAGCATCCATGATGCATGCTGAGTAGAAGGAGATTCCCTGTTTTACAGACTACAAGGGAAAATTGACACCGCAAGAAAGCAAGGGATTACGTTTTGGAGGAGGGAGACACTTTCACAAGAAAGACATGGAGAGGGCCTTTGATACTTAAAGGGGCCACCCCAATCAAAATTAGTGTGTGGGACCTGTGACCAGGACAGAAACTGTTGAGGTGAAAGCTATTCTTGTGAAGTGCTTCTAAAAGGACTTCTCTCTACAGCACCTGTTCAGGGAACCTGAAAAGAGGCCTCCTACAGTGGTATCCAACACATTCACAGCCTTGATCCTCTCCCCGCTGTTTTTGCTCTTAATTCTGGTAAGTTGAATAGATTCCATATAGAATTTCTCTTCTGCCCACAACCCAAAACTAGCACAGTAAACAACTTCAGCCACACCTCTTACCTATTCTCTGGTTAGGAGTAATTAAGCCAGTCTTGCTGTGATACAGAGGGAAGAGCAATGTCTTTCTAGCGGTCCCTTCTAACTCAGATAACTCTCTGGTTCTGTTTCATTCTATGCTGGTCTCCCAGCAAATCATCTTAAGGCACTGAACAGGTTAAAGAAAATGTAATAAAGTCCCTTGGCCTTGGTAGAAGTGCAGTTTTGATTCCCAGGCATCAAGTGAGAGGCTATCAGGTGACTAGAGGAATTCTTGCCTCACTCACTAGCATTACTTGTTGACTGATATAGCTTCTCTCCAGTCCTTAGGAGGAGCCTGATGTTAACAAGGCAGGGCATTATGGAAATGGGATGTTACAAGCAAATTAATGGAGCTACTCTGGTCCCAATCTATGTGCAAAGGGTTGGACTAGCTTGTCAGTTCTAACTCCCTGTCCCTAAATTGTTTATGCTCCAGTTAGAAAACTAATAGCACTGATTAGGATGAGGCATTGTACAGTTTAAGCTTCTCCCACATGGCTCTGCTGACATTCTCAGTTCTGACCTCAGTTGCCCCTGCTGTTCCAGGTTTAGATTCTTCTAGAACAAAGACAGTCATACCAAACTGCATGGCGATTTTTTGTGATGTGGACATGCTAAAAGAGGCTGAGAGACCACCAGATTGATTCCCACTTTTGGACCTAATCAGCATTTGAGTCCCTATTGCTGGAGCTGAAATGTACAGCATCAGCCAAGCACCTGTCGTCAATTAAACACCACTTTAGAACTTGCTTAGTATACTTTACAATCTCTCTGCTCATCAAGTTAAATTATACCTGATTTGGTGGGAAAAACATATGGCTCCTCTTTGAACCCTCACCCTTACCTCATAGTGCGTTCCAAATGCAACCTCTCCTCTTCTGAAGGCTGGGGGGCAATCAGATAGAGCCGTGTCCAGTTACCTTCAGAATCCATGGTGCACTTGTTGATGACTTACCCAACGCCCCCTCAGCGATGATTCTCCTTTTCATCGTCTCTTCTACTCCCTTCAAACTGACATTATTACATGGTCATTCATAACCTTTTATTTCTTCTAGAACTGTAGCTAGTTTCATCCTGGGTTCAGTAACAGAACATCATGTTCACTTTTACCAGTTTTATTCATATGAATTCAAGGCACATCAGATTTTTCTGAGGGAAGGATGGGTTTGGAGGCTTTGTTTAGCAAAATACTTGTGAGATCCTGCAGACTCCAAGATAGCTGGTATCTAACTCTTAAAGAAATACTAACTGACTGGCTGCTTTCATGAAATCAGAAACAGATTCGTTATTGCAACTAGGAGCAGTGTCTTCTGCCTTAACAGCTTGGCAGAAGCGAGATGGTATCTTGGGTTGACCACTGTTTAAGGGCTTGTCTACACGAGGAAGCTGTTGTGAAATAAACTCAGGTGTGAATTAAAGCTACACCACACAAAGACACTGTTAGTGCGGTGTGGGGAGCTATTGTGGAATAGCGGTTCTGCAGTCGCTCTCCCACAGCAACTACTCCAGGCTGTTTCCTCCTGTGGACAAGCAAACACGTTGGTTTTGCAGTCTTGGCCATTTTAATTGATGCATTTGAAGTAACTCCAGTTTAAAAGGCATATTGAAGAACTTTGTGGTTAACTGATGACAAATAAAAGCTAGTGTCTAATAAAGCCATTGTGATTGGGGTTTTATTTTTTTCTTTCAGTGGATAAAGATTGGTGCCAACATCTCCAATTTCAGCTTTGCTCCCAGCACCATTATCTTTCACCTGGGACATGCTGGTAAGTGTCAGATGCTCTCTGCTTTGTATGAACTCCTTCCCACATGGACTTTACAGATGAGTACTCTGATGATAAATGGACTCACAACCTATTAACTGTAATGACTTAATAGCATAACATTTCTCTCCCTCCTCTTTCTGCCTTTCAGAATTGTTAATATGGTGATAAACTTGTTTTGTCCATCTGCTTATAACAGCTGTCATTATACTGGGCTCCTCTTGCACACCACTTACCTACACTTAATAGCACTCTTCATATCAGAGGTCACTATTTTTGTTGTGTATTCACCCTTTGGTAGATGGGGAATTTTTTTGTGGCAGTGGAGTGGGGACGAAGGCCTATGGGATCTCCCTGTACTCCTTCCTGAGTCTATTTATACACACACGCACACACTGTAGGCCAACTTGTCCTGGTCAGGAATGGATGGGACCTAGTTTTCTCTGAGAGCTCCGAGTTCTCATTTGTTTTTTGGTCCCTCACAGAACCCTGGAAGATCCTCCTCCTCTAACACACTCAGATGTTCTTATTGCATCCACCAATCTTCCATTTGAAGAGAATTAGACATAACTCACCAGTGCTACTCTTTCATCACCCACAATGGCACAAGGCCCTTGTTCCCATGGAACTGACTGCAGAGGCCCTCTGGTTCTCCTGGGCCAAGGTGCCAGGGAGAGACTGGAATCCAAGGCTTAGGGGTGGCAGCACAGTGTGTTTTGTCTAGTCTAGTGCCATGAGCAGTTTTAACTAGGGTCTTGCTTTAAAATGAGACTTCCTGTCTTATCTCTTCATAGCCATGTTGGGGCTCATGTATGTCTACTGGACTCAACTTAACATGTTCCAGACTCTGAAGTACCTGGCCATCTTGGGCAGTGTCACATTCCTGGCAGGCAACAGAATGTTGGCCCAGAAAGCAGTAAAGAGGTAAGAGGAAGGGAGGTGGCTGTAACTGTGTAGGGTCTGGTTTCCAAAAAGCCAGGGGAAGGAAGACGGCCATGTTGGACATCAGCAGATGATCTAGTGCTGAGCACCAAGTTACTAGTTTCCAGTTCCTGTCATATTTAGAAGCAGGCAGCTCTGCCATGTTCCACTGGCCATTTTCAGCACAAACGCCTGATGGAGTGCTAAATAGCAAGTAGTCTAGCTGCTTGCAGTGGGGGTGGCTGTCACTGGAGAATTACCAGCTGTAGGGTTTTGAGGAGAGTGGATTATAAAGCAGTTCAATGAATTGATCAAATACTTTGAATTTTGAGATGGAGTTTGTGCTTTTCCTTTGGCATTGACAGAACATGGGTTTTCCTCATAGGCCAAGACTTTTCAACTTGGGGCCTAAATTAAGGCACCTAAATGAATGGGCTGTTTCTCAGAAGTGCAGAACAGCCAGCAGTAAGCATGGCGGATAGTAGGGTTATAAGGAATAGCCGGCATGGATTTGTCCGGAACAAATCATGCCAAACCAACCTAATTTCCTTCTTGGACAGGGTTACCGGCCTGGTGGATGGGGGGAGCAGTAGACGCGATATATCTTGATTTTTAGTATTGCTTTTGACACAATCCCACATGACATTCTCATACACAAACTAGGGAAGTGTGGTGTAGATGAAATATAAGGTGGGTACAAAACTAATTGAGAGACTACTCAGAGTAGTGATCAAAGGTTCGCTGTCAAACTGGGAGGCCGCGTCTAGTGCGGCCCCACATGGTGGGTCTCTCTCGTGTCTGGTACTATTCAATATTTTCATTAATCACTTGGATAATGGAGTGGACAGTATGTGTAGAAAATTTTGTGAATGACACCAAGCCACAAGCACTTAGGAGGACAGGATTAGAATTCAAAATGACCTTGACAAATTAGAGAATTGGTCTGAAATCAACGAGATGAAATTCAGTAAAACAAGTGCAGAATACTTCATTTAGGAAGGAAAAATCAAATGTACAACTACAAAATGAGGAATAACTGGCTAGGCGGTAGTACTGCAGAAAAGGATTTGGGGGTTATAGTGGATGACATTGAATATGAGCCAACAGTGTAATGCAGTTGCAAAAAAGGCTAATATCTTTCTGGATTGTATTAACAGGAGAGTCGTATGTAAGACACGGGAGGTATTTGTATGGCTCTATTCAGCATTGGTGAGACCTCAGCTGGAGAACTGTTTTAGGCACCATACGTCTATGATTCTAAGGATTTCACTGAAGCTGTTGGTGGCTTAGCACTTGTGAGAGCCAGCCCGCTCATTTAGATGCCTAAATGCAGACTTGGGAGCCTAGAGATCTGAGGTATCCAGGTTTGAAAGTCTCGGCCATAACGCTTTCCTTGGAAAAACTGTACTTACAACAAAGCACATGCTCTGAAGAGTGTTCACTCCATGGTGTATTAAACTCTGTGGATGCTTTACATCAAACATTTACAGTAACTTTCATTGTAAGGGTACTCTGAAGTTTCAACCTTCCACAGCTCCACTTACTGGGTAAATGCTTTTGTGGTGAAGGGGATGTTGCTTTGACTTCCTGTACTGGTATAGGGTTGATTCAATTCCCATTAAAGCCACTGGAAAGACTCCTGTTGGATTGGCCTTTAAAAGTCATCAGCCATGAGACCACTGTTCTAACTTGCTGTGCATGTGGAATTTCCCTCCCTTCCCCACTATTATAAAGACCACACTTCCCAAGAAAGTTGGAAATGTGAGCATGTAACCAGCTACATTCCTGATGTCCTATGCAAGACCGTCCCTAGCCTGCACAATTGCTTTCATTCTTCCCTGTGGCTTACCCATCTGCACAAACCTTCCTAGTGGAAGCAAACCTTTATAAGAACATAAATCTAAAGCTTAGTTAGTTGTCCTGACCCCGTAGATGTATCCTTGGCCCTCTAATCAGAGTATCCGTAGATCCTTCTCATACATACCTCGCTACTGCAAAGTCATCTTGCAAACACACATGCACTTAGGCTGCCTTCAGGTTGTTGCTCCCTGACCCCAGCATCACTACAGACTGAATCTCAGCCATTTTCTTTCTCAGAGCCTCAGGTCCCCTCAATTGCCAGACTCAAGTGCTGTCACTTTGAGTCTAATTTAAAGAGTCAGGCTTTGATCCCTGTCTTGCTAGTGCAATGCCTGGCTGCTGGGCTTACCCCTTGACATGTTTTTAGTCAAACTTGTTCTCTTTTTCTTACCTTGCCCTTGATAGTCCCCTGGAAGGAGTTTGCACATGCATGTTCACACATTTTTTACAAAGCAATCTGAACCATAAAACCTGAGAGAAAAATAGTATTTTCAGTAACTTTATACTGATTTATTGCCTTTAAAAATAAGCAGTATTCAGATACTGCAGCTGGGCAAAGATAATCAGCTAGATTAACAGAGCTCAGTCCCTTCTCAAAGCAGCATTTTCCAGCCATGCTTGGGATGCTCAATATGGTATTTCCCCTCTCCTTCTTTGCATAGAGTTCTCTAGCAAGAGTTCTTTTCTGATGGAGCTGTATTTTGTCATTCCTGTATTTCAGTTGTTAGTCTGAAGTTTGCATCTTGCTAAGACGATAAATATAAATGGTAAAAGTAAAACCAGAAATTGTTGGTGTCTATATTAAGAAATCTTGAGAATCAGGGAAAGGAGATTCATTGAAGCTTATCTGACTGTTTCAGCTCTACCAGGGCTTCTGTTAGCAGATAAATGGGGGATGGCTTACTCCCTACCCCTCTCAACAGCCTCTCCATGTTGAGCCATATAGTTTCATTGGTTGTGACAAATAAGAGCTTTTACCAAAATGCCAACTTTAAAATAGTACTTCCACCTAACGGTGGAGGTGGCCTCTCTTCAGGTTCTCATATGAGAATAAGCTGCTAAAATGCATCTTTTGTTGGCTTACTACCACCCCAGTGTAACCCTTGTTGTTAGCCATTGCTCTGAGTATCTGACATAGGCTATCTGACACCGACTTTGAGTCAAAGCCACTCTCCTGGTGTGGGCCGCGCAGGAGAGGTAGCAACAGTAATGTTTGGCCCACCCCTGTGTCTTTATTGAAGGTATTGGAAGCCCTGGTTTTACTTTTTGCATTTTCTTTCATCTGCTCCAGTTCCTGGAGCCGGGCTGCTCTCCTCCTCACTGTCCTCTGAATTTTTTCCCTCTCTCCTTTCGGCAGGATTGCTGCAGAACAGAGCAGTAGGTTGGCAAAGTATAGAACACTGCGGTAAAAGGGGGTTGCTCTTCCTAGAAGTAAGGGCTCTTCTGGAATTTGCCTTTCCCAGGCATTCTGGCTGCTTCATTTCATTCTCATCGCTCGCTTGCTCCTCAGCCAAAAGAAATCTTAGCTGAAGCCACTTTCCAACCTGTCACGTACGGCTTTGAATCTGGGGTGGGGGTGTATTACAGCTGTCTTTAAATGTTCTGTTATCTACGTGCATTAAGAGAAAATGACTTCTGTGTGAAGCCTTCATTCTCCCAAGTTTATGTGACACATACATATACAAACACACGTGCTTTTTTTATTGTGGGCCTAAGGATTCTATACAACAATGAAACAAAAGCTAAATTAACCATGGAAACCGGGGGAAGGTGGGGGGGCGTGGCGGGGTTATCATGCCTCTAAGTGAATGGAGAATGTCGTCTAGAGGTGAGTGTAGTGAAAGTATTCGCTGTACAAACTTCTCTCACACAGCTGTCATTTCCCTGGTCCTGACCTGCACTGTTTCTGCTATTTCATTCCTGGGCATTTTTACCAGAGACTTGCCAGTCAGGCTGAACTGGGTGTGGCTTTGAGGAGTGGGTAATCAGATATCCAGTAGCAGCAAGGCCAGACCACCCACCTCTTTTGACTTGTGACCCAAGCCGTGATTTATACAAGTATCAAATCAGACTAGATTTGATGGCTCCCACTGTGGCATCATAGAGTTTATGGCCAGAAGGGACTGCTACATCTAGTTGACTGCCTGTATATCACAGGCCACCAACACCTCCCAGCACCCACACACTAAACCCAACAACCCAAATTAGGCCAAAGCATTACAGCCCACAGGAGACTAGACTGTTATGTGCCACAGGCAGGACCAAGGTGCACCAGTGCTCATGGCCTATGTAATGGTAGGAAAATAAATAAGATACAGCCAGATAATCCTCCAAGTGACTTGCCCTCCACACTGCAGAGGAAGGTGAGGAAAAAACCCAAATTCCTTCCTGACCCCACATGGCGAGCAGTTAGACCTGGAGCATGTGAGCCAAAGCCAGCCAGCCAGGCACCTGCGAGAGAGAATGTTCCATGCCACCTCAGAGCCCTGGCCCCCATGTCCGCTGTCCCCTCTTCAGCCATGGCCATCCTTGAGGAAGGAGATACAATTAAAAAACAAAACTCCCAGAAAACTATGAAAATCCCTTCCTGGCTTTCTGCATCAGAGGTCAGTCCCTTCTGTATATGAAATCATTTTCAGATCTCCCCCACATCACTTTCCCAGTATAAAGCCCTTCATTTCTGCTGTTAATTTGGAGTGGGGAAGGTTCTCATTTACCATGTCCACGTTGGATTTACCATGCAATAGTCCTGTGGGGGTCAGACTGCCCAGCATGCTGCCGGTCTTTCTGCGTGTCTCTTGTTTCTGTGCCTGTGTGATATCCTTCATTTCTCCTACACTGTGCATTCTTTCCGGGCTGAGAGTGAGAAAAGAGAGAGAATCAGACTGTAATACCATTTATCTGATAGAATTGAAACCCTTGCAGAATACACTGTTGAAAGATCTCTCAAGCTTCTATTTGATTGTTTTGAAGTATATACAGTTGTACCTATCCAGTGCTCTAGGCACACATAACTAGGACCCAGGATTCAAATTTTCAAAGAGGGGACTAAATTTTATGTGCAAAAGTATGGGCACAGGTCACTGTATCCTGAAACCAAAGCACTGTTACTTGTGAGTACAAATTCCTGTTTACGTTTGTAATTGCCCGATCTGTATCAAGTGTGCTTTGTGAGGGCAGTTATATGTGCATGAGTACATTTAGTGTCCACAACATTGAAGATTTGGCCTCATGTCCCTTTTCAGACCCTTTCAAGACACCCCAATCACAACCTCTCCACTCCCTCGTGGGTGCTTTTGAACCTTGGACTGCACATACAAAAAAGCTGATATAACTAGAGAGGTATTGGCTTGATGACCATATGTGAGCTTAGTGTCAGTTTGTCTGGCTGGTGAATGTTCGTAACATTAAATTCTTGGTGCCCCAGTGTGTAGTAGGCAAGGAATGGCACTGTGTCCCCTTTGAACACTTCTCCCTTAGCCAGAGCTAAATGCAGCCCCTCAAAAACCACAGCCAGGGTTGCTCTGATACTCCAAGAATGCATCAGTTTGCACTTTCCTATAACAGAGTTCGGTGTACATGCAAAAGTGCTGAGCACCCAAAGCTCTAACTGAAGTCAGTGAATCCTGCAGGTGTGCAGCACCTTGGCTCTTGTCCCTTCCCAGGACATGGGTTTGTCATGTATGTGTTAGATTTCTCTTGGCTCAGGCTTTACTCTTCAGTTCACATGGAGGTGGGTGTTAATTTGGAGAAGACATTTTAATTCTTCCTTTTAAGAGCCAAACCCACTCATTCTAATTGCATAAACCAGCAGTTTCTTGTAAGTTTAAGAATTGGGCAAAGCCTGTTGAAAGCTTTGCACTCAGCCACCATTTTTTAATTCAGTTTTTGTTTTGCAAGGCTGGTCACCTCTGCCATTTGCCAGTAATCCACCTTTGCGTTTTCTGGACATTTCACTGTTCCTTCTGTTTGTCCCCGCCTTGCTATGTAATGATACAGTTTATTACATCTTTGCCATGTAAAAAGAAATCCCATATCTTCCTTCAAAAGAGCATGGGAAACTTAATGAGCAAGGAATTTCAACCTTGCATTGAAAATGTTAATTTTGTTCGGATTTCTCTTTCCTTTCAGGACACATTAGTACCGGAAGAATGGATGAAATAGGAGGGAAAAAACTCAAATCTATACAGAAAAGTGGCCAAGAAACTGTCCAAAGGCCAGAAGTTGGAAGGCAGAAAAGAATTTTTTTTATGAAGTCAAGAGAATTGTGGTTATACTTTTTTCTTTTTTTAATGTTTACCCTCATTTGTTTTTAGTGGCTGTTTGAGCAATTTTGGAATTAAACCAGCAAAGCCCATGTCTTTTCTTCCCTCCCTCTCCCCCCCTCCCACCCCCATCCCCAATCCAAGTGTTTAAATTCTGACAATGCAAATTTTGTAATTCTGACATTTTCCCCCCTTGTGGAATAAAGAGGATGATGAGAGGAAAGAAGGGTTCAGTGTTTTATTCCCAGCTGCTTCAGAGGCTGTGATGTAACATTGGGTTCCGTTTGAGAGTGAAACATGTTTTCGCTAGCTTTGCTTAGCCCATAATGTCTTTATTCTAGGCAAGGCATTATGTTGTGTGAAGCATCTTTTCATGATGCTGCTCCTGCAGTTTGCCTGGCACTTGCTTTCAGGTCCTTCCTTGGCCTCGCCCCATTCTATTCCAGTGTCCTGCTGCTTGCACTGGAAGGCTGTGTAGACAGAGCCTCTGTTTGTTTGTATTAATGTTAGATTCCCTGATCCTAGAACCAAGAGTCAAGAGCCAGTTCTGTGCCTAAACTGGGGAAGAAACTGTCCATGGTGCTGAAACATGAAGACTAAAGTGCATCCTCCCTTTTACTCTCAATTATTAATTATTTTTAATGGGTCCCATGCAGCATCAATGAAACTCCAGGGAGGGATGTTCAGCCTAAAGCTCTGCCATCAGCAGTTTTGTTAGCCTAGCTCTGTTTCCATTCCAATACTGGGTACAGACCTTGCCACTTCAAGGGTCATTTCTTTGTTTTGTGTCTTTTTATAGTAGGTTAATTTCTCTGTGTGTGTGTGTGAGTGAGAGAGAGAGAGTGTTTTTCTGATAAATTAAATGAATATCAGGAGTCTGCAGTGGGCTCACTGGCTGTTACATAGCGATGTCTGATGGATTTGTTTTGAAGTCTGAAGGACTGGTTAAACACTAAGCCACTCTGGCTATATATTCCTGGGCCATTGGAGCCCAGTCTGAGTGCACTGGAAGGCCAAAGGTTAGAAGCTTTTAAATACCTGAGTGGTGCCCTAGCAATCCACACCCCCCTCGTGACTTATCACACTGATCTTTTAGCTCCATTATCTTCACCTTTTTGTGAGAACATGGAATTGGAAAACAGGTTTGGGTGGAGTTTTATCTCCATCCTTCCTCTTCAATCGACAACTCCTAGCATAGGAATAAATTGAACCCTGCTTTTATTTATTTATTTATTTATTTTAGAGACACCTTTTCTGTTTTGAAAATATATATGGTTTGTTTAATGTTAGTACTCTGCCTGAACTCTTCAGTTTCCCCCCTTGCAGCTGTCGCCTATTGCTGCAGCTGTAGGACCAAGGGTCCAGGAGACACTCAGCTACCAGAGGGCAGGATGGCTCAAGGAAACACTCCGTAGTACCTCAACTGACTTACATGGAACTACACCAAGGATCAGGGTGGTCCTCATCTACATTTATAGATGGGACATGTAAACTTGCATCAACCATCAGTTACATCCATAACTGGGAACAGATGATTGATAGGCTTTAGCTTCCTACCTCCTTGATTGCACATGTGGGTGATAATTTAGCTGTCTGCCATTAATGCCCGCAGTGGAATGTGGCTGCTATTAGTTGGAAGGGAAAAATTGTTCCCACAAAACTAGAGGCCGAGTTGAAGCCAGTTTCAGATATTTAGCTCTTCATGTCCACGATGTGTGATATAAACATTCGCTTTCAGGCATGTAGGCTAGACCCCATTTTCATATGTCACCTCATGAACTGTGCTGAGCAGAGGGCCATGAAGAAAAGCAGAGAAAAGATTCTCCAACCCAAATTTGACCTCGGTAAAGGTCTAATATAATGAGACCTCTACAAAGACCTCATCTCCACTCGTATGTACAAAATTATACCTGTGCCTAGAGTTGGCAAGTGCAGATACCACCATGTGCTCTTTTAATAGTATAGCACAGCTGTTAGAATTAGCCTCTGCAAAACCAGTTGGCAAACACTGGGTCCTTAATGGGAATTGGACAGAAAATGTAGCTCATGACCAAGAAACAGGCACATCTCAAGAGACAAGGAGAAATCTTGACTTGCTGTTGGACAGGTTTATTCAGAACAACTTTTATTTCTGCTGTGATGATGGAAAAGCGAAACCCACCCGGAATTATTTACATATCATCTGAAGGCATAACTTCAGTAGTAGTAGGAGTGTCATGATGCCAGAGTAGGAAGCAGAATAATGTTCTTGTTCTGCCTCTCGGACACTGTAGAGAGGGGTTTTGTGGCACTGGGGAACATACTAAAATATTTCCCCTTCTAAAGGGCAGTGGGGAGTACTACAGACATCACCCTAAATGTGGGAAATAATGTTGCAATGGAGTTAGGAGTAGAATTAATAATGCTCCATCATGAAAGTTAAAATATATTGACCAGTACAATCTGAAATTCCCTTCTGATGATGCACAGGAGTCTCATTTATACCAAACCAACCCCAGGCTGGACTTGCTGGTAAGTTCAACCCTGCTGCAAGAGTTCTGGACAGGACAAAATAGCCATGTTTGAGGCCAGTGCTGTTTCCAGTACATTGTGTATGTGTATGTTTTCTTAAGAAAAAATAAATTGTTCATTAGTGTGCAGTCACGTAATGCTTGGTCTGATCTCCATTGGACGTGTATCCATAAGGGGGAAGAGTCAAATCAATGTATAGACTAAATCTATGTGGATACCAGAAAGTAGTTTTTAGTAGCCTGCATGTTTATTGAGTGAACAAACTTTCAGACAGAGCGGTAACTCAGCAGATTTTTCTATAGCATTTGATTCAAAAATTTTATGTTGCGATTGTAGATAATCAAATCTCTACCCTGGGCGAGGTGTGCACAGGATTGAGTAGCCCTATCCAGGGTACAGACCAGTAGCAGATAACAGTGAGAGATCTGTTTGGTCAAGTACACCTGAAGGGAAGTAGGGAGAAATTAATTTAAGGACTGATTAAAATTAACCTGGGCATAATAACTTTTAAAACAATCTTATTCCTTTAGGAAAAGTCTCTAGGTTCCAAGAAGAATATGCATGAATTACAGCTGTTCATGTCCAGGATCTTCTCTTTGCTGCTGTGGGTTGTTTACTCTACAGCCGGGTCCATGATCTCTGAATGACTCCTGTGCAGAAGGGAAAAAAAGAAAATTATGAGGCAGCTGTTTGTGAGTAAAGACATAACAAATGTGTGAGACGTCAACCACAGGCTCGCCAGAGCTGTCATCACTTGGCTGCAAGAGTCAGACGTAAGTAAGTCAGGCGAAAGAATTGAAGGGAAGCGAGGTGGGTAAGGAGGGTGCCCAAGTTTGCTGTAGCCCTCCATTCATGGAAGCAGTTGATTTTGAAACAGTTCTTCTAAACAGTACCGGTCTTCATGGCCATCATTTTCAAACTAAAGTTAGGCTCTAAATCCATGATTTTCGTACACAAGAACTCACCACTCATTGCCTTCAGTGGGCACTGTCCGTGGTGAGATGGAAGCTTAATCATCTATCTGCACAGTAACGCTTGTCTTAAGCCTTTCTTTTTCCACTACAGAGCACTGCAAAAGCAGGATGTTGCACAGAGCTCAGCAGCTAGGGATTGGTACTCACCAGAGCACAGTGGGGAGAAAGGAGAGAGATTTACAGTTTCATGAGCTTGGCCAGGGTGTTGGTAAAGTCCTCTACATGCTCACTGTTGACATCCTGAGGCCTGAATAAGAGGAGAGAGCTGGGTAGGTTCTGACATAATTCTGTGTGGAAAGCAACTCACTATTGTGATTGCTCTCAGAAAATAGAGTTGGGAGAAGAGACAAGTTGATGAGGTACAGGACTAGTATCAGCCATGCTGTAGAGGGGAGGCTCCATCCAAGTTTCCCCCAATGCAGCTGTGCTATGCTTATTGGAAAGAAAGATGCAGGCTTTGATGCACAGTAGAAGCTTTATTCTGACCAGGAATATACTGGAGGAATATTACCTACTGCCATCTTTTCACCCGCATAAGTCAGATAGGAATAAGGACCTATTCCCACTCCCATTGAAGTGTACAGCAAAACTCCTGTTGACTGAAATGGGGTTAGGATTATAGGGCCCTACATTTCAAGGTAAAGCTTTCTACCTACCTTTGATTATGCAATATGGCTCCCAAGAAATTCCTTAATACCATCTGCTGGTGGTAGCGGCTGTCCATCAAGATGCTCTCAGACTGACGTCTGGTCAAAAATTCATGCTCCCCTTCTCCTGGGCTGCGTTCGCTGCTTCGGTTATGCAAAGAACAAGAATGGGCTGCTAGAATGGCTCTCTGCAGACAGGTTTTTTACAAACAGTTTCTCCATCTCTTGCTGGAAGGATGGGGAACCTGCTGCACTTGCAGGGATGGCTTAGCTATTGCCTGATGGATCAGGTTGTTGCAGCATCTTACTTCTGATTTGCAAATCATTTGCCCATCCATTGCTAAGATGAAATAACTGAGCTCATTGCTCAGTCTCTTGAGTAGGAATGGGGTTGGTCGAGTGGGAGACCAATGATGAGCTGCAGTTGACAAGGGTCTCCTGTCTTGTTTAGCAACACTAGTGTATGTGGTCAAAGCTGGGGGAGCAGCAATGTGGATTTTGATTTCCCGCACCTCCCTGCTTTGGGGCAGGGTGAAGCCAAGTTTCTTTCAGTGAGCAATAGCAGTTAATGTTTCACACAAAGGTTCTAGCTGGTTCCTAAGGCGGTGGAGGTTAAGAATAACCCTGAAGCTAATAGGTTGGGAAGGAAAGGATTAAATACAATGCCCAAAGAAAACTGTGATTGTGGGGATCATTACAAAATATGGGGATGCAGGGCTCTCTTAGACCAAAGGGGAAGAGGCTTGTTCTTGTACTGGTGAAACAGTGAGAAATTAATGTGACTAGGAGAGATGATGATTCCATCAGACTGGATGGAAAGGTTTCTACTTGAGCCGTGTGCATGGAAGAAATTGCCTGGTGTGACACGCAAAGTCTCAACTCGGTAACAATAGACAAACAGGAAAAGTGGTCTTACCCCAGCCGTTTGCCTATAATGGTTTGTAAGATCTTCCGGGCAGAGATCTGCCCCAGGACCTTTCGGTAGTGGTCAGTGAATATGGCATCAGCATGGCGCTGCATCCTAAAGATGAGAGACAGATGCTGGATGCATAAAACACCCTGGATAATCCACCCTTTTGGTAAGAAATCAACTTCAAAAATACCAAAAAAAATTCACATCTGATAGTGCTGAGAGGGGAGCTGATTAAGGGCCAAACAACCATCCCAGAATCCCAGTATCTGACTTTCTTTTTTTCTCCAGCAGTAAAGCAATTGTTTTTTAAAAAGTCCTGACATGGAAACAGCAGGAAAAATCTACCAACCAATCAGGAACTGCTGGGGAAAAGTGGCTTCACATTTAAATAAAAAATGTTGTAAAGGGCCTAAAAGTTTGTGTGGGGGGGGGGCAGGGAGGAGGCTGGGCTGGGGAAGTGGGGGGTGGCTAGGATGTTCTTATGCCCTGGCTATTCCCCAGCAATGCCATGGGACCGTTAGGAGTGAATGCAGCTGGGACATGAGTTTCAGAGAAGCCCTCAGAGGTGCTCTAATGTTCACTGGGATCTGGGTCCCGGAAGTCTCAGGAGAGGGGAGGTGCAAGCCTCCCCCTCAGTCCCCACATCCTGGCTCTGCACCAGGACAGGGATGAATCCACCAACCCAACCCCATGGCTCTTGTCTGCCTCAGTTCCCCCACTTGCTTAAACAGGACTAACTATACTTCCGTGCCTGATGGGGGTGCTGTGAGGATAAATTTGTGAATGTTTTGGAGGTGAACAGATGCTGCTACAATTCCCAGAGATGCCTGGAGCTCTGCAGAATTGCTGCTTGCATGAAATAGGGCAGGAAAGGAGTATTGATCTTGCCTCATTTTGCTATCGGTCAATAACTGTCTCTTTGGAAAGGTTGGAAGAGTTAACCCCTTCCCCAGGTGACTGACTCAGGTGTAGGGAGACAGCCTTAAAAGAGTGGAGAGAAAACACAGCCCGCTGACTACACATTGTCTGGCTATGAGCACAGACTTCATCCACTACAGCAAGGTTTTGTCGAGTCAGCACCAGGCGGGGGAGACCTTTTAAGGAAGATACCGGCACTTTCAGATCTGCCTGCATTAGCGCTGGACCAGTGAGGCAGTGTGCTGGGAGCAAGCTCTGTGCCGCTGGTGATGTCTATCAGCAGGAATGTGCAACTGTGCTGTTGCTCACATCAGCTCAGTAAAAATGCTGTAGGACTTCTGGCAAGAGTTGGGGTGATAATTCCAAGCATCTTGATCAAATTCCTGTGTGCATGATTACACGCTTCCTACCTACCCTTCCCTCAATTGGACTTAAAATTATTCTGTTCCTGACCTAAGTTGCCACAGTCCAGGGAGCCACAGAGCATGGCTGTTTTCAGTTTGATTCCTGTGTGTTTAAACCACTAGAGAAATCAATGAAGGTGGCTGGAAAATGGTTAGACTTTTTGGCAAAATATTAAAACCTGAAAAACCTTGGCCAAAACCGCCCCCTCCCTGCCAAAAAAAAAAAAAAAAAGGAGGTGACTGGACATTTCTATGGAAATGGTGCTGCAGTGTCTCGTGGGAGTTGTCGTTTAGGTGCGTTATGCCCCCTTTCTTTTCTGTGGGCAGGTCTTGGTGGCTGAGCTAAATCTCCCATAATGCACCATGATTTCCTTTCTTGCTGAGTCACCACAGTGCATCATGGGAGATGTATGTTGTCCAGTAGAGAGTGAGACCAAGAGGCAGCCCTACTACAACTCCCAGGAGGCACCTTAGCTGCCTTTCCAAATTGAATGGAATAACATGATTTTGGCAATTAATTGATCTTTAACTATTCATGGTAAATAGGCCTAATGGCCTGTGATGGGATGTTAGGGTGGGATCTGAGTTACTACAGAGAATTCTTTCCTGGGTATCTGGCTGGTGAATCTTGCTCACATGCTCAAAGTTCAGCTGATCGCCATATTTGGGGTCGGGAAGGAATTTTCCTCCAGGGGATATTGGAAGGGGCCCTGGGGTTTTTTTGCCTTCCGCTATAGCATGGGTCACTTGCTGGAGGATTCTCTGCACCTTGAAGTCTTTAAACCATGATTTGAGGATTTCAATAGCTCAGACATAGGTGAGAGGTTTATTGCAGGAGTGGGTGGGTGAGATTCTGTGGCCTGCATTGTGCAGGAGGTCAGACTAGATGATCATAATGGTCCCTTCTGACCTTAATATCTGTGAATCTATGAAACTTTTCCATTTTCAGGTGAAAGCTTTTCAATTTTCAAATGTTTGGGTTTTTAATATCTCCTACAGAAAGCAGACAATTTTTGCAAAAAACTTACTTTAATCAAAAACCCAATTTTCCATCAAAAAACAGTTTGGCTGGAAAAACTTCTATCAGACCTAGAACCCAATCCTCACTGGTAATTTCTGCAAAATACCCTCAAGTGCCCTCAAATCCTCTTGCTGTTTCCCTCATGGGCTGCAGTGTAGGAAGAAGTTAACTGAGGCTCCCTTTGTGTGTTGGGATTGTAGAATGAGGCACCTACCTCTTTTCAGCGGGGTTGGCTAGAAAACCCTCCTCCTCTTGCTGCTGCTCCTCCACAGAGAGATTGTTGCTCTGCACAGGACTGCCATCCTGTAGCTGAAAGCTCACTGCCTTGCTAGAGATGGGCAGTGGATTGTACCTGTAAGAATGAGCCAGCCGCACTGAGCACAGCCAAACTGCAATCCTCACCATCTCCCCCACCCCCATCACCATAGCCTTCTCCACTGGGCCAACCACCAGCAGTCCTTAAGTAGCACTTGCTGGGTTCACCTCGGTATGGCTTGTATTCTCTCTTTTCTTCCCTTCCCTTCCCTGTCTAAGGGAGACGGCACAGGTTGTCTTTCTATTACTGTCCTCCAGATCTGGAAGCTGCCTAGATGCTACTTATACCAATATGCTAGGCACCTTTCGAGATTAGAAACATAGAAGTCCCAGGCACAAAGCAGCAGACAGTTCCCCCTCTCCAAAATGCCAACATACCCAGGCAAAACATAGCCAATTGGGTTCTCCCTGTGCCAGTTTTTGAAAGCAAAGCCTAAAGCATTTTCCATGGGGAAAATGTGAATGTTTGCTCCGGAGTCCAATTGCACTCAGTTTCATAGATATACTGATTTGTGAACTTACAAAAATAAGATAATTTCAACAGGTGGCAGAGTGATACTTAAATGAATTACAGGGAGGCCTTAGTACATCCCTTCAATCCATATAATACCAAAGCTCCTATACCTCTCACTTCAATGCAAGTGGACAATAATACAGAAGAAGCAAAGACAGTTAACCTTACTTACAACTTTTTAATAAAAGGAAAGTCTGGCTGTGCCATCTATATTATTATGGTTGCTCAACACCGCCCATTATAAGACCCAGTTTTCAATTTTTTATAATTTTGCCAAACTTCAACCATTTAGGCTGAAATTTTCCTTGCCAGGCTGAATTGTTTTGAAAAATTTAACCAAAATAATTCAGCTATTTCCAAGGAAGAGGCTAGGGCAAAATGTGGTTTTCCTGTGTAAAAAAATTTGTGAGACCTTTCCTTTAAAGTGTCCTAGCACCCCTGTACTTTGGAGCAGGGACTCAAAATTTGGCAAGGGGGTGGCCTTTGTGTCAGGGATGTCTCTTTTGCCTTCCCATAAAAATCCACTCAAAGTTGGCCAAGTTATAAGCATTTGAAAAACAGGGGTTTGGAAATGATCAGAGACCTCTTTGATTTGAGCAACTAAAATCACCAAAGATTGTCCTCGCTAAGCACGCTCCAGCCCCTCGCTGCTCCTGTGTATGACCAGACTGCCCATGTGCCATCCCCACAGAGTGACTGAGGCCTGGTCTACACTAGAAAATTAGGTTGGTTTAACTACATCAGTCAGAGGTGTGAAAAATCCACACTCCTGAGTGGATAGTTAAGCTGAGCTAAGTCCCTATGTAGGCAGTGCTAGGTCGATGGAAGAATTCTTCCATCCACCCAGCTACCACCTCACAGGGAGAAGAGTTGCCTGTGCCAATGGGAGAATCCCTCCCATCGCTGTAGGAAGTGTCTACACTGAAGCACTGCAGCAGATCAGCTGCAATGGCGCAACTGTGCCCTGTAGCATTTTAAGTGTTGGCGAGCGCTGAGCCTGTTTCAGCCCAGGGCTATGCGGGGCTCAGAAGGACTTTCCCTTTCCTGTAATGGCTGCTCCCAGGTGCTGGGGTGCAGCCAGGCACTGGGACTGAGAGCAGGGAGTCCATCTCTCGTGTGTTTTCAGTGATCCCCCTGCTGGCATCCAGCCAGCACAGAGGAAGAAGCTGTCCAATTCAAATACAGAAGGGACAAAAGCCAGACTGGGGGTGGGGGAAGGAGTAGATTGGGGCAAGAGAGTAGGGGAGACAAATGAACTAGCTGGGCAAGGAGATTGAGACTGGGAACCAGTGGAGGACATGGGGGCAGGGACTGAGACTAGATGGATGAAGTCTGGCACTGGCTTTGGACTGGGACTAGGAACCGGCGTAGGGGCTCAACAGGGGTAGGAGAGACGGCCCTGACAAGAAGTTTGGTGTGGGGGAGAACTTGGATTGGCTGGGCAAAGGGACCGGGTGGGAGGAGTGGAAGAGGTTGGGAGTAGGGGGAACAGCAGTCGAGACTTGGACAGCAAGCCCATAGGAGGAAGCTAACATGGAAAAAGTAGTTTGTGAGCACTTAATGAATACGCACAGTGGGGCCAAGTTAAAGCTACACTGGCAACCCTAACTTTTGAGTGCTTGACTTCGCAACCTTAATAATGTCAGAGGAGTGAGAGAGAGATGTTGCCTGATGACTTGGGGAACTGCTAATGGACTATAGAGATAGTCCACTCTAGGTCACCAGTTCAAATCCAGCATGGCTTGGTAGCAACAAAAAACAATTACTCTCTGATGACAGTTTGGCTCATATGTAGGAGCTTGTGATTCTAGGCACTGTCCACTGGCTCTATCTGGATTTTTATCCTGCACCCAGCCCTGTGGTATCGGAGCACCGTACAAGCAAGTGTCTATTGCTACCCCATTGGTTCCCCAGTTGGCCATCTCAGTGGAGTCTGAACTCTAGGTCGACCTGGGGTCTGTTGCTGTGGCAGTGAGTGGGTAAGCTGCTTGTGCTGTTGTTCGTGTACTTGTTCTGTGAGTAAACAGAGGACTTAGGCTCCAGGGCTACTTCCCTGGCTGCTATCACCAGCCCTGAACTTACATATTTAGCTTTAAAACTGTTTGGGGCGTTTGACCCTGGCTGTCCCTTGTTTTGACTGCATCCAGTTTTCTCCTCAAAAGCCTTATGTTTACACTTCATGTTGTCAGACACAAGGTATGTTAACAATGACAGCAAACCAGTATGGTCCATTATACCACCTCCTGACTGCACGCCCATCAACAAAGCGTGGGCAGGGTGTGAATACTGGACTCTACATTGTGCCATGCGTCTTCAGTGAGCCAAGGACCCAGATGAATCAGAAAGCTGTGGGTCCCATAATAGCCATGTAAACAGCTGCTCATGGAGACTTTGCAGGCTCCGCTTTCTCGTCCCAGCCAGAGGAATGCGGAGGAGGAAAAGCTTGTTCTCACTGAAGCATAAAGTAATGTTTAAACAAGACAACTTGGCACAACCTGCAGGGTGGCACAGAAGACGTTCAGCCCCGGTATAGCAGGGGGGGCTGCAGGTCACGACTGACTTGAACTGCCAGAGCCATGTGTGGGAGGCACTCCAGATGGAAACAGCAGGAGGAGGTGTGGGTCAGGACTGAGGTGAGCTGACAGGGCTACAGGCAAGGGGCAGAGATCAGGACAGAAATAGCACTGGGTGCCGCAGGTCAGGAGTGAGGTGAGCTGACACAGTTGCCTGGGGGCCCTGGAACCCTGGACTGAAATAGCAGAGGATGTTGCTAGTCAGGATTAAGAACTGCCACAGCTTGTGGTGGTGGGGAGACTGAAAAAGCAGAGAGCTTTGCCGGACAGTATGGAATGTGCTGTCAGAGCTGGGGGAGAGGGCACTTGGAAAATCCTGCCTGCAGTGTCATGAGCCTGGTACAAAAATCCACAAAATGCCCAGGCCAGAGAATAGGAGTGAAGTCAGAGGGATGGGGGGAAATCTTTGGGCAGGCAGGAAGTTAAGGGGCTTGAGCCTACCTGAGAGCTGGATAGAGAGGAGAAGAGATGGAGCACATGACTAAATGGAGGAACAGGAGGAAGATGGCCCTGTGCAGCATCCTTCACCCTTCTGGAGTGACCTGAAATCAAGAGAAATCCAAATCAGTGATGGTAACAGCCAGTGTCTCCTGACCTCGCACACAGCATTTGGGGGCTCTGAGCACACCACTGCCAGTGAGTTGGGAGAAAGCTTCTTGAATGTGCTTGGGAGCTCTCAGCTACATCTCCATTTTCTCAGTCAGACTCAAATCGTTGCATCCCTGTGTCATCGGCATCAATGGGAGAGAAATCACCCTGTGCAGCCTATATTTATAATACCCGACATACTTCACCTTGCAAGACAGCGGACTCGGCATGTCAGTGTCTTGGCATTGCATGGTATTTATCATATAAATACCCAATTAACAGCCACCGTCTCAACAAAGAAGCCTCTTCCAATGCCTGTCTCTGCCTGGAACGCTGTCCCAGCAAGTTGATTCCCTGCCTTTGGTGACTGATGGCCAGACTCTAGAGCCCATTTCCAGGAATGCTGCGGGTGATACAAATGCCGGCCTGGAATCCATAAACCCCTGCCTGTGAGCTGGGATCAGAACATACTTCCCTCTCGCCAGGCCCTTCCGCTCTCACCAGCCTCCTCTGGAGCATGTTTTACCCAGACGAGTCAGAGACCGGAAGCAGGGAGTGTGGGATTGTCCTAATTAGAACTGCTTGAACTACTTTGTTAGGAGCTGAGTTCTTTTTTCGGGCTAGTGAACCCAATCCTGATTTTCCTCTGAATGGATTTGCTCTTTGTAAATATTTGCCTGATAGTTTGCACAACTAACTTTCACCCTCTGAGGAGCTGTTTGGATTACAGGAGCACCTAGGGGCCCCAACTGAGATTGGCGCTCCTTTGCATCAAGTGCTGTATAAACACAGTGAGAGACAGTCCCTGCCCCAAAGAGCTTACAGGCTAAATAGACAAGATGGACAAAGGGTCGGAGGGGGTAAAAGAGGCCCTGGTAAGTAGAGTGATTCACCCAAGGTCACAGGCAGAATTAGGAAGGTGTCCTGGGTTCTAGCGCATAAGCCTAGCATCTGCCGACACACTACTTGTGTTGTGCAGTTGGTCATCTTAGTTGCATAGTATGTGGTTCTCCTCCCGTAATGGATGACTGCAACACCTGACACGAGAAAACAAGTAACATATTTCTGGAGAGATAACATTCCATGTGGACAAGGGGATCTGGTGGATATAGTGTATTTAGATTTTTAGAAAGCCTTTGACAAGGTCTCTCACCAAAGGCAGTATGAGCAGGGATGGTGTCCCTAGCCTCTGTTTGCCAGAAGCTGGGAATGGGTGACAGGGGACGGATCACTTGATGATTACCTGTTCTGTTCATTCCCTCTGGGGCACCTGGTATTGGCCACTGTCGGCAGACAGGATACTGGGCTGGATGGACCTTTGGTCTGACCCAGTATGGCCGTTCTTATGAATGTTTCAGGATAGGTGAACACTTTCATGATTGTTTAGCAGCTGTCTGGATACTTGGGAAGAGGAATAATCCAAGTCCATGGACCAAAGTGAACTGAACTCTGTGCTTTTATTTGTGGAAATTAGAGCTGGTAGAAAAATTTCCATCAAATCTTTTTTCCGGTGAAAAGTACCTTTGTGATCAAAATGAAAATGTTTGCAAAATGTTATCATTTGGATGGAAATTTGTTGTCAAAAATATTCCAAAATGGAAAAATGCTTAATTTTTTTGAAGAAAACAAAAACAAAACTAATTAGGTGTCAATCACAGGTTGGGTAGAGCTGGGTGTGGCATTGGTGGGAATTCTGTGGGGGAAGTTGATTAGTTTAGTTACAATGTTGCTGTGTTATTTTATTTGATCAGAAATCAAATTTTATTTGATCAGAAATAAATAAAATGTCAAATAAATTTGACAGGTCTTTTTATGCACTTGTGCGTGTGTTTAATCTGTTGCCCAGGGCTCCGGAATACCAGATGGTTGCTATTTTATTGTAGTTTAGTAAAAATACAAATACATATTTATTTCTAGAGCTGTGAGCCTAGACAACAGCCGGCAAAGTGCATAAGAAGCCACAGTCCTGACTTCAGAAGCTTTCAGGCTCACTGGGACAGATCTCATATGGAGGGTATTCGTCCAAGACACAAGAGAGCCTGGAGTGATTGTCAGCAAGAAAATACAGGTAAGGAGCTGCTGTGAGTGAAAAGGGATCTGAAGAAGAACAAGGAGGGTGCATGGCACACGGGGAGGGGGAAGTTGTTCCAAGCAGAGGAATGAAGGAAGGTGCAGAGCTGTATGTAGAAAGAGACACAATGACCAGTGAGGAGCAGGAGGATTTGAGGAATGGGGCTATTCCTGTCTCTGCACTGGCATCTGCAGGAGGAGAGGATGCTGTGCCCTTTCCATGGGTGGAGCAGCAGCAGAGTTCCTCCTGTCCTCCGGGACATACTGTGCTAGGTCCGTCACACCTTCCTGCAGAGCTCCAACCGGGCTATACTCCTCTGTGCTGCCCACAACAGGCTGCAGCACCTACATGCCTCTGTCAAGCCCTAAATGGCTTGTTTATCACCTGCTTACAAATTCAGGGATAGACCCCAGGTCTCCTGTCCCTGTGCCATAGCACAAAGGCATCCTTCCTCTCTTCCAGTGCCTGAAAGGATCAAACCGGCAGCAGGAGGCTGACAGTGAAGGAGAAGGAATCTAACTGCACATGGAAATGATAAGGGATGAGAGATGAAATGGAAATGCAAAATAATACCAAGGACCGTGTGGGCGAAGGAGAGTGAACCTCGAAGATTCAGTGGAGAGTTGTGTGAACGTGATCCAGGTCTGCAAGGCTGGGCTGCATATCTGACCAGCACAGGCAGGTTTCTCTATCCCTAAGGACAGGGCATTGTTTCTACTGTTGATCATTGATGGAGTGCCATAAGTGCATGTGGTACTGCACAGACATGATCCCTGGGCCAAGGTGCTCAAAATTGAAATCTGAGAACACGGTGATGACACACAGCAGCGTTGGGTGTATTTGTGCTTTTGATAGACACAAAGGGGTGAAGATCCTCATGGACGAATTGTGTTTTAAGGAGCTATTTGACTGAGGAGAGGAAAGTTGTTTGGGGAAAAATGAGTAGGAAGGTATTCTGGGCATAGGATCTGATCTCTCTGCTATTGATGTTTGTTTATTATTGTAGTGTCTGAGTCCAAGTTATGAACCAGAACACATTGTGGCAGGTGCTGTGTAAACACAGAACACAAAGACAGTCCTTGCCCCAAACTTAAGCCCCCACTGACTTCAGTGAGCGCAGAATCAGATTCCCAGGGAGCAGGATGGCACTATTAATTACTGTAAACAGTTCCTCAGCCTGCTTTCTGGTTTCCCAGTTTACAGCTGCTTACACTTCAAACCTGCAGGCTGGGTCAGCCTTCAGCACTGTTTCCATCTGTTGTTGTTTTGGAAGTGAAGCAGCTTGACCTAACTTTAGAACAGAACTGACTGTTGGCAAAAGAGGGGACTGAATCCACCTTCCAAAGAATTCTTGCCTCTTAGAAACCATCATGTCAGCCCCATGAAGACCCTCAGAATGCCAGAGAACCGAATCAGGGACTTACTCCTGTGGGACAGAATTATAAGGCTTTTGGTTTTAGGTTTACACTGCTGTTTTCTGGAGGAAGCATGCCCCCCTCCCTGATACCCCAACATGAATCCTAAATTATATCCATCCACTTCTGATAAAGAAAATGAGGGTGATCTATACACTCCAAAAGGAGCGTTAGCACCCAAGTCTGGGACAGTGTCAATCAATGTTCTTTATATTATGAACAGCCAAACCACTGTGAGAGCATGGCAATGGGGTTGCACAAGTGCAACCAGGGGAGAATATAGCCCTTTGCTTTTCCCTTCCTTCCCGTTTGTATTCCTAGGGTAAGACACCCCGCCACACATGATTATCCCCACTTTCACTCTATACCCAGCTCCTCTTTTTTTCAGTGCCAGGTGTTCCTCCAGACTGTTTTTATCCCTTTTGAAATCTTTATTCCGCACCTCTCTGACCCTATAAGTTTCTTAAAGACGCTTTTTTGATTTTCCTTTTTCTCTCCTCATCTGTTTTTACCTTCCTTATCTTCTCTTTCCCCTCTCCACTCTTCCATTCTTTCTCTCTCTCTCTCATCCCTTCATTTCTGTCCCCTTGGTCCTCTCCCCTTTGATCTTTCTCCCACCCCATACACAAAGGATACTGAACCTGAAGTCCTGCTCGCCTTCACAAGTGTGGGCATTATTTCAGAGGGTGAACAGAAGAATGTTTAAGTTTCACACTCTGAACATGGCCAAGTTGACAGCCCTGGAGGGTTAATTTCACTTCTCTGCTTTCCATTCTAGCAATGGGGGGCAGGGGAATTAATAAATTTTAAGATGAAAAGCATTTAATGTTATTGTAAAAGATAAAGCACAACACCCTCCCAACACCCCCTCATGAAATTTCAATGTTGCAGTGTTTGTGAAAATACTGATGGATCGATTAGCTCGATCACTCCTTCTGTTCCTTACTGTGTCTGGGATACATGTCTAATCAGTCCTGAAAATACTGCTGTGGGGATGCAATGAAACCTTAATCACTCCTGCAGTCTGATAAGGTTGACTTTTATACCGTACTATCTTGCAATTAAAAGTACAAAGATATTTCCAATTGCTTCCTCTGCTATCCTGTAATTGGATTTGTGTTGCCCGTAAGTCTTTCAAATTTCTATTCATCCCTTTGGTTGGCTCGACTAAATAGTTATTAATGGATGAGTAAATTATTGGTTTTGTGGTGGCTTTCATGAATGTTGTAAGAGCAGGAAGCAGGTTCTGTGCCTGGGCTCATAAATTTCCAAACTGTTTTGCAAAGCTGTTCTATAACATTACTTTGTAGATTTACATGTATCAGACACTTCAGTTACTAATAATTGTTTCAGTCTATAACTTAAGCTACAAAGCCCTTTCAGATTAGTACTGAGGCTGCTGATAAATGCCAAATCTGATTGTGTTTTAGTGTAATTGAATTGTCCCCAGTTTCCAAATAGCAAGTATCTTGTTAAAACACACATGCAAAGGATCAAACTTACCGTTCCCTGAGGAAATGGGATCTTTCCAGCTCTCTACGTGATTTCCTTTCCCTGTTAAAAATACAGCTTCTTTCTCTCTCGCTCTCTTGATAGCTTTTGTTGCTTCAACGAACTGGACTGGGTTCCTTCCTCCTTAGTTCTTTACCTGTGCAGGGTCCCAGTGGACTGGGACCAAGACTTGTTCAGATGTCCCCAACTACCGTGGTAGTTGTCCTGCTGCGAGAGGTGCACCTTCTCTTTTTATACCTGTGCACCCTTAAGAGTTCTGTGGGCTTCTCAACGTCAGAGGATCAATTACCCTCCAGTTGTTCAAAGGGCTGTGTTTAGCATCCCCTCTTTTAGCGGATGAGGCTGCAGGCAGGGAGGTGGGAGGTAAGGGGGGGGGGTTATGCCTGCACTTTGAGGATGATATGCATGCTTTCCCTTTATCTTACAGATATAGAATAACAACAATAATTTGACACAATGAATGACCAATTAGCTTTACAAGGTAAACTTCTCTTCCCTTTAAAATGTCATTTTCCTTGTAACCCACAATGGGGGAAGGTTAACCATTAATATTCTCTCCTGCTGCCTTTGTAGGAAGGTTTATCTCTTGGCCTTTTTCTTTTCCTCCCGATTATCAGGCTTTTCCTCCTTCTCCTTTGTTGTTGGTACCTGCTGTCGTTAGCAGGGCAGTTCATGCTTCAGTCCCTCGCAAACATCACAGCCTCACGCCAGGCAAGCAAAGCATCTTTCTGGAGAACCTTGCTCTGCGCGTGTGCACTGTAAAAAATCAGAGGTCCTGCTCCATTTGCCATGTCATCCCTCCATTTTGGTCTCCGGTGGCCTGTTCCATTCCTGTAGGAACTGTTAGGGAAATGCTTTTTATGAAGCCTCATTTTGGAGGGAACTGGATGGCTCTGGGGGCTGGTAACAAGACTTTCCTTCCTCCACGACCAGTGTGAACCCAGACTAGAAAAGTGTTACTACCAAAAGATTGGAAGGAATCTAACCCCTCCTTCTTCAGACCATAAGCCAACCTCCAGCTATTTTGGGTGTTAGGAGGAAACTTTCTATGGGGCAGGTTATCCCAGAGCTGCCTCCTGCAGAGTTTCTTGCACCTCTGGAGCAGCTGTGTTCTGGCTACTGTCAGACAGGATGCAGGACAAGATGTCCCACTTGGTCGTCTCTGGTATGGAAGGAGGGGATTTTCAAAAGCATTCAGTGTTGGCCTAACTCTACTCAGTGGTCTCTTTCCTAGTGGCTCAGCAGCCTCCTCTCAAAACACACCATCCCAATAGACACTAATCCTCAGTCTTCTCTTGCAGCCATGGTAGAGGGCAAGGACTAAACTCCTCTGTCGCTCTTAGAGGTGGTCCCTCTGTCAGGGTTGATGCACATTGGCAGGGTGGTGTGAGGGAAGCTTGCATTGCCACTGCCTGGGCTGTACCTGCTCTGTAGATAAATATAATGCTTCCATTCCTACGACGGTCAAACCGATGACATGGGCCCAATCCAACTCCCAGTGAAATCAGTGAAAGGCTCCCATGGCCTAAACAGGATCTGTCCCTAAAGGGGATCTATGTAATATACTTGCACTTCTGTAAGGCTTTTGACTTGGTACTGCATGACTTTTTGATTAAAAAAAAACTAGAAAGATACAAAATTAACATGGGATACATTAAATGGATTAAAAGCTGGCTGATAGGTCTCAAAATGTAACTGTAAACGGGGAATCATCATTGAAGGGGTGTTCCTAGTGGGGTCCTGCTGGGATCCCTTCCTGGCCCTAGGCTACTTAACATTTTATTAATGCCATAGAAGAAAAGTGGTAAATAATCAAGAGGACAGGTCACTGATTCAGAGCAATCTGGGTTGCTTGGTAAGCTGGGAGCACACAAACGGTGTTTTAATATGACTTAGTGTAAATGTCTACGTCTAGGAACAAAGAATGCAGGCCATACTTATAAGATGAGGGAGACTATCCTGAGAAACAGGGCCTCTGAAAAAGATTTGGGGGTTTGGTGAATAATCAGCTGAACACGAGCTCCCAGTGTGATGATGTGGCCAAAAGGACAAATGCGAACCTGATAATTAAACATGGGAATCTCGAGATGGAATAGAGAGTTTATTTTACCTCTGTTTTTGGCATTGGTGCGACCGCTGCTGGAATGCTGTGTCCAGTTCTGGTGTCCACAGTTCAAGAAAGATGTTGATAAATTGGAGAGGGTTCAGAGAAGAGCCATGAGAATGATTAAAGGATTAGAAAACATGCCCTGTAGTGATAAACTCAAGGAGCTCATTCTCTTTGTTAAGCTAAAGAGAAGGTTAAGTGGTGATTTGATTAGTCTGTAAGTAGCTATAAAGGAAACAAATATTTAACAATGGGCTCTTCAGTGTAGCAAAGAAAGGTCTAACATGATCCAATGGCTGGAAGTTGAAGATAGACAAATTCAGACAGGAAATAAGGCACACATTTTTTAAGTGAGAGTAATTAACCATTGGAACAATTTACCAGGGTATGTGGTGGACTCTCTATCCCTGACCATTTTTAAATCAAGACTGGATGGTTTTTCTAAAAGCTTTGCTCTAGGAATTATTTTGGGGAAGTTCTCTGGCCTGAGTTAGACAGGAGATCAGACCAGACTATCATCATGGTCCCTTCTGGCCTTGGGATCTATGAAAATAAAAATATTTCTTAAAATGTGATTCAGGTGCACAGCAACTGTGGGAAGAGCCCCAGGAAGAATTATTCTCTTTATTCCAGATCTGAGTTAAAGAAGTCTCCACTCAAACCTGTTCAGAAGGAAAAGGTCTGCTGTGCAAATCAGACATTTGGATATAGATATTCCTGTTGTCTTAACACCAAATAAGGGAAATGTTCTGAATACCACACAGCGGAGCTTTAAAAATCAATGTGCTGGGCCACGCAGCTGTGTGCTGTCTTTCAGCACTGCAATGGGATCGTTCAGCTCTACCTTCATTGCCAGCGTTTCTGAAACACAACCTCCTGCTCTTTCATGGGTGAGGCTGGTAGCACCAATTTTTCAGCACAAATTGTTTTTCCCCGGCTGTGAATTGGTGCTACGCATCCCTGTCTCTCACACGAATCACTATTTTGTTAAGCCCTGTACCACTCTGGAGCAGTTATCAGCTGTCTCAAGGTATTTATTTGTGCTTCTCAACCATTCTATTTTATGAGGGAGTTTCATATCAGCCTTGCCTATTGCCTGAGACCAAGCTGCTGCAGATAACTGACTTGTACACTGACCCTCTGCACAAGGAGAATCCATGCTTATGAAGGGTGTTATCTGTTTAACTGCCATACTATTAGTTATCCACCAAGCATTTCGGATTGGGGGCTTAGCCTCTGTTTTTATTTCAGATCCCAACTGCTTTCCAAGGAAGGTTTTAAAAATCCCATTGTCTTATTCTGCACAGCTGGACCCAGCTGGGAGCCCAAGTTAAGCAATAAGCAACCCCCTCAAGATTTCAGATTCATGTACAGGTTCCAAACAAAGTAAAACAAACATACAGGGTCTCTGAGCATGTTCCCTTCATGCCGTTTAGGCGTCTTTAAACAAACAATATAAAGGCAGTCGCTCTTATATTACCCGCACTTCCTGTCCCAGCTTGTACTCAGAATCCCTTCCATGTTCCCAGAACTGAAAGGAGTCAGCCTAAACACCCTTTCCTGAATCCTTGGTCTTACCCTCTGGCTAGACACTGCAGGCTGCAGTAGGTGCCTGGATACAACTGGCTGTGATCTGTATTGTTGCCTGAAGTTCTGGCTTTGCTCCTGAGCTGGGGCTTATCCAAACAGGGGCTTGGATCTCAAGGATCTGTGCATTTCGCCTTAATCCACCACAGCCTATGAAGGGGTGTGATCTGGTTCAGAGCCTGACCTGCATTCATCCCTGCTGCAGTCAGTGGATGCTCATCACTGAGAGCATTTTATGATCACTGTTTTAGTGTTTAACTAAAATAGTGGCAAAGGCGGATCTGGCACCGCACAGACCTATAGGAAAACCCCTGCTTAAGGGGTTTAGGAATCAATCCTGCAAGCACTGAAGTCAACAGAAGCTTTTCCTTTTGTTTCAGTGGGTGAAAATTTGGCCATTAAATGTGACAGAGGTATTAATGTATTTTTTTCCTGATAAGTAGTTTTAGAGAGAGTTGTATGGTGTATGTCTGTAGTCGTATGATTTCATTTGTACCTAGAACTTTTCCCCTCTTGCCCCACCTCTCTCTTTCTCTTGATCTCCTTCATTTCATTAGAGTTACAGCCAACCCCAGAGCACAATGTAATTGATGTGGCAACTTACCTCCCATAATTCAGCAGTCAGGCTAGGTGGGTGTTACGGGATATATTACTTCCTGTACACAATGGGCCAGCTCAGCTGGTGTAAATTGGCTCAGGTCATAGAATCATAGAATATCAGGATTGGAAGGGACCTCAGGAGGTCATCTAGTCCAATCCCCTGCTCAAAGCAGGACAAATCCCCAATTTTCCCCATATCCCTAAATGGCCCCCTCAAGGATTAATGGTTCTACACCCGTTTACACTGGTAGAGGATCTGGTTCCCTTTCTGACTGAAATTCTGCTGAAGTTTGAAGTTGCATTTGCTTACACCCAGTCTGATTGTAGCCCACAGTGTGAGGCAGACACCTGCTGCAATTATGTTCTATTTCCTGTTCTTCATTGACAAAGGGCAGAGCCTGAAAATCCTGATGCAATTCCCTAGATATTGATTCCCTTTTAGCCTTGCCACCTACGTCCTTCATGCCATGTTTTTAAAAAATAGTTGCTGTTCACTCCCTATGTACCATATATGCTCCCAGATTATTTTACCTACATGGTAGATGACCCCCCTCCCCCCACTTAGTGATGTTAAAACTAACTCCATTGGGTATTCAGCTAAAAGGCCAGAAAAAACTTCCCTGGACCTTGTTGCTATCTCCAACTGTCCTAGCCTTTTCTCCAGCCTCCCCAAAGCTTTCCTGAACGTGGCAGTTGGCTCATGTCTCCTCTGATCCCCATTACCCCCTATGCAGCAGCTCAGGACTTTCCAAACCCCATGTGGTTTTTCTTTTCATCAGTTAGTGAGGCAATTAAGTTACCACAAATGACTTGTTAGCCTAAAAAGCACCCATTAAGCTGACTGGGAGACCTATTTTAGCATCCATTTCTCATCTTACATATGAGTACAAATGGTAGAGCTATTGCACATCATCAAGAATTTAATTATATTTCTAATGAATTGGTATTTATATACTACGTTTAATCCAAGGGAGTCTAAAGTTCTTCACAAGCCATTGGAATGTAGCAATGCGGCACTTCTTGGTGGGGGACGGGACATGGCAACAACCCAGCACACAAGAACAAAAGGAGGGAAAAGAAATATTGGTGAGGGCCATTGGAAAACATCCCCTGTTCTTCCAGAGGAGCCATAGAATCTGTAATGTCTAAGCACAGCAAGCAGGATGTATTTTTTTTTAATTAAAAAAAAATCCTTGGTAAATTGTACTGGACTCCGTTTCTCTACTTTGGAAGGATAAAGGGCCAGGATTTGGTGGCTGTGGATCCTTGGAATCTCCAGATTTGATGCTTAGAACACCAATATATTTCCCTTGATGAATTTGGGGCTGGAGCACAGTGAATACAAGTATTTAAGAAAATAATCTCCTTAGAAAAGGGTCACCATGGAAGAGAAGCAGCCAAGCTCTTGGCCATATACTTTGCGTTTGTAATCATGAATGTGAAACAATGTATCAGATTAAAACCTGACAGAATAAATTGGTGGCATGCAAAAAGTAAAAGAAGGGGCTAGCAAAATGAAGGACTGTCTCATACATTTAAAAGCCTGTTTGAAAAGCCTGCTTAATCTTCACATGTTAAGATATCACTTAGACCACAATAGAGCAAGTGGCACCAGCCTGCATGATGTGAATCTGTCAGGAGCCCTGATGTGGCAGTGTGAGCGAGATGCCATTTTTAGTGCTTGTGCCTGTCTGGTTCTGTTTATTTTCTGATGGAATCACAGAAATGTTTCACCAGCAGGTGGGTGAAATGCCCCCAGCATTGGCCAGCAGATGTCAGTATTCTACAGTCAGTTCTGTATTTCAGCCTCTCAAAATGACTCAAATTTATTTGAGCATAAGCTTTCGTGAGCTACAGCTCACTTCATCTCCCCACTGTATTTTCCACTGAATGCAGCTGATGAAATGAGCTGTAGCTCACGAAAGCTTATGCTCAATAAATTTGTTAGTCTCTAAGATGCCACTAGTACTCCTTTTCTTTTTTCATTCTTATTGCAATTTTGAGAGATAATTTTCCAAAAAGCTGACAGGTCCTAGTCCAGCACTGGACGGGGAGCTAGGAGATCTGAGCTCCTCTTGCTCTGTAACCTTGCCCATGTTTTCAAAACTAGCCTCTGATTTTGTGTTTCTCAGATTTTGGGAACCCAGATTGAAAGGCCTCGGATCGTGGTTTTCAGAGGCACTGACAACCTCATATACAAACTGAAAGTCAATGGGAGCTGTGGGTACTCAGCCTGTTTAAAAATCAGGCCCCAAAGGTCTCAGGCTAGGGAACCAGAAATAGAGCCCCCTCCCAAATCAAAGGCTGTTTTTCAAGATGTTGGCATAACTGTGTTGTGCCTCAGTTTCCCCATCTGTAAAAATGCAGATCTGAATACCCATCTTTGGAAAGGTTTCAGAGTAGCAGCCGTGCTTTGAGAGCCTCAGATGAAAGGTGCTATTTAAGTGTCTGAAAAGTATCTGAAAAGTAAAAGTCAAGTTTATGGACAGAGAATCCTCTCAAATTTCCCAAGACTTTGCTAAGCCATCATTCACACAGTATATTCAATCTGATAAATGCCCTCCTTTTTCTATATTTTTAAAATACACTTCAATTGGTGGGTTCTATTCAATGTCTGGGTTTCTATTGAAGTGTCAGGCTGCTAGCTTACGGAGTGGATGGGGCCTTTCCAAAACCTGCAGCTGTTGTCTTGATATTTTGCCATGGCAAAATGCTGGGGGAGGAGAAGCAGACATTGGTATAAAGTGTGGAAGCTGTATATAGCTGCCTCTGCTCAGAGATCTCCCTCTACAGGCATCTGAAATGCTGTTACCAGAGAGAGCTCTGATGGTATTATGGTGATATGGGAACATGAAGATCCCATGGAAATTGTTAGGGCAGGAGATCCAGGTTAAAGTTTCTAAAAGTACCTAAGTGAATTTAGGAGCCTAAATCCTATTTCCAAAAGTGACTTAGGCCCAGATCCTCAATCAAAGGTATTTAGGTGTCTAACTCCCAGTTGAACTCAGTGGGGAGTCAGGTACCTAAATATCTTTGAGGAGCTGGCTGTTAGGTATTGAGGAGCCCAAGTCCTACTGACTTTTAATGAGATGTAGGGTCCTGTGGGCATAACTCACTTTTAAAAATGGGATTTAGGCCTTGAATAAACAAGTTCCTGTGCCGAGTTTCTCCACTGGTAGAATTGGGATAATCATCTAGTTGTGAGTTTTAGTTTTTATGCGGCTTTCAAATCCTTGGATGAAAGGGATTATATAAATCCAGAGTGGTGATTCTTGTTATAAATGCAAGACCTGGAAAGGTGAACTTTGGTTTTCTGAGTCACGTTGACTTCCATTTGATATTTCAAAACATCTAGTTGAATTCTTTTTTGGAAAAAAGACCTTTTGCCTGTAATACCTGTTTGCATCAGGCTGAACATAAGCAAACAATAGTGTATTTTGCTCCCTTTAGCCAGAAATTTCTGATTCTGAGAGCCAGATTCTCAGGTGGTGTAAATCTGCAGAGCTCTATTGAATTCAATAGATTAGGTATCTTTACACCAGCTAACAACCTGACCCTGAGTCTTCTCTCAGTCAGGAATGTCATCTGGCCACCTTTGCCAGGACATTCCTTGATCTCCATTTCCACAGAATTATTGGTAAAAGGATTTCTTGGTCCCAGAGATGATTTTTTTAATTCAGTGTTTTGGGTCAATAGTAGCAGATCTCACTGCCCTCCCCAGTTCAACTCTAAATGTAAGCAGCCATGGGTGATGTCAGTTCCCAGAATTGTTTCTAAGGTAGGGATTTTTTTCCTGAATGTTTTTCACGTTATACATCCAGGTGTCCTATATACCCTTTTTAACATGGATATCTCTATGGAAAACCAGAGAACTAGTAGGACTATGACATCTCAGGTACCAAATAAGTGAAACCTGTTACATGAGGGAGGAAGTGATTATTTGCCTGTTTTTACTAACACCTATTGAACTCAAAACACTTGACAAGCAGTCATTTATTACATACTCAGTTGTCTGACCCTTCACAGGGCTCAGAAAACTCCCCACACCCATTTAGGATAGTCAGTGAGTTCTCAGAAGGAAAAAAAAACAAAACAAGGAAAACTAGATTTGACATTACTGATATTTCAAAGGTAAAAAATAGGGAGAAAAAGAAAAATCTTTCAGACTTTTTATACGTGACAAAGAAGCGAAAACGTTGTTGTTATTTTCCCCCCTTACCTTTCATGATTGGGCCCTGAATCTGGGCAACTAAATGACAGAGAGATTCCTTGGACGCAGCACAGACTGATGTGCAATTCATAATGGTTGTGCCAAAGCACTTTAAGGAGACAAGCTCAGGAAAATTACAGGTAAAAAGAAGCCTGTGAAAAGGGAAAAGTCAGGTGATTGATCATAGATGGGAGGGTGGCCTGTGTTAATTATTCATATATATTTAGATAACACAACAATCTTGAGGGGAACATGTAGATTGAGGAGGCAGCACTGTACAAGATTTCTTCCTTAGGCAGTTTGTTGAATACAGACAACAGAATCACAAGCTATTTTGGACCTGGTATTTGGAAACATGCCCTTCTGGATGTTACTGCTCCACAGCTGGCCCCAATGTACAGCGTTCAGGCTGAATGCATGGTTGAAAAGAGAAGTCTTGAGATAGTGGTCCTATGTGAATGTGAAGAAGCAGAGGGACTTCAAAGTGACTTTACCTGCGTATTCAGAATTATGAAAGGGTTTGATATAAGACAGAGCCAGACTAGAAGGGGTTTCCAAAACCACCTGCTTTCTGAAAATCAGGAAAGTAGCATTAAACAGGGTGCCAATTATATACAGAACAAGACACATCTGGAATAAATTGCCTGAGGCCACTGAAGCAAACAGTAGAAATAAACTTAAATGACAGCTAAATATTTTGAGGGTGAGATAAGGGATTGCAGAAGCAGAACAATTGGGTGGAGATGATAAATCTAAAGGAGACAGGCTGCTGCATCACCTGAGCAAACCTATGAGAAGGAAGAAAGAGGAGGGACCAGGAATTAGGAGTAGAAAGAAAGAAAAATAACCCCAAAACGAAGGGAAGGGGGGGGGATAATTAGGACCCCACTTAGATTTTGCATAGTATGTTTATGGGACAGAGTTAAACCCTTTGTTCTATTCCGGTTCTCTGGTGTCCTCCTCACCATAGTACAGGGGTGGCCAAACTTACTCACCCTCTGAGCCACATACGATAATCTGCAGAAGCCCGAGAGCTGGGTGCACCTGCCACAGCTGGAGACTTCAGCCATGCGGGGAGCGCCTGCTGCGGTTTGGGGCTTCAGCCCCACTTCTGCTGAAGCCCCGAGCCCCAGCAGGTGCCTGCCCTGGGGCTGAAGCCCCATGATCCTCCCCATCCCCACAGGGCAGAAGGCCTGAGCTCCACCTGCCCCAGTCTGATAGGTGGAGAATGGGGGGCAGTGGGATGGGGCTCCCACTTAAAGGAGCCACCCCTGCAACAGTGCCTGAGTCTGCGGGACGTCGAGGGCCAGGACAAGGGCGGAGGAGAGAGCAGGCTCAAATATCTCATTTTAAAACACCCCACTCTTGGAATAGCATTGGCGCACACAACCCCGCCCTTGCCCCCTGGGGGGCCGGCTGCAGGATCGGGGGCCCCAGTTGAGTCCGACCCCTGTACGTGACACCCGGGGCTCGGGCTCTGAGCGCGGCAGCACGGGCCCAGCTCCACCCTGCAGACTCGGTCCGGGCACAGCAGCGCCGGGCCCGGGGTAAGGACCGGCCGGGGTCTGTGCGCTGAGCGCGCGGCCCCGCTCCCCGCTGGTGGCTGCGGGGTCACAAAGCAGTTAAACGCCAACAAGGCTCGCGGCGGGGGGCGGGTCACATGCGGCGCGGCGGGGTGTGGGAGGTCCCTAGCAACGCCGGCCCGGAGCTGGTTGCTACGGGAGGGAAGGGAGGAAGCGCTTCCTGCGGCGCTGGGAGGAATCACTTCCCGGGCGGCGAGGCCTGGCCGCTGGCGCGGGAGGTGAGAGGCGGGGGGGTGGAGGATCGGGAGGGAGGGGGAGTGTGAAGTGGCTCAGAGGATGGGACGGGGGTCAGAGGATGGGGGGGCTCAGGATGGGGCGGGGGTCAGAGGATCGGGGTGGGGATGAGGGGGGGGCTCAGAGGATGGGAGGGGCTCAGAGGATCGTGGTAGGGATGAGGGGGGCTCAGAGGATGGGATGGAGGTCAGGATCAGGGTAGGGATGAGGGGGGGCTCAGACGATGGGATGGGGGTCAGAGGATCAGGGTAGGGATGAGGGGGGCTCAGACGATGGGGCTGGGGTCAGAGAATCGGGGGTGGGGATGAGGGGGGCTCAGAGGAGGGGACGGGGGTCAAAGGATCAGGGTAGGGATGAGGGGGGCTCAGAGGATGGGATGGGGCTCAGAGGATCGGGGTAGGGATGGGGGGCTCAGAGGATCGGGGTAGGGATGAGGGGGGGCTCAAAGGATGGGACGGGGGTCAGAGGATCAGGGTAGGGATGAGGGGGGCTCAGAGGATGGGATGGGGCTCAGAGGATCGTGGTAGGGATGAGGGGGGGCTCAGAGGATGGGATGGGGCTCAGAGGATCGTGGTAGGGATGAGGGGGGGCTCAGAGGATGGGATGGGGGTCAGAGGATCAGGGTAGGGATGAGGGGGGCTCAGAGGATGGGATGGGGCTCAGAGGATCGTGGTAGGGATGAGGGGGGCTCAGAGGATGGGACGGGGGTCAGAGGATCAGGGTAGGGATGAGGCGGGCTCAGAGGATGGGATGGGGCTCAGAGGATCGTGGTAGGGATGAGGGGGGCTCAGAGGATCAGGGTGGGGATGAGGGGGGCTCAGAGGATGGGATGGGCTCAGAGGATCGGGGTGGGGATGAGGGGGGCTGAGAGGATGGGACGGGGGTCAGAGGATCGGGGTGGGGATGAGGGGGGCTCTGAGGATGGGAGGGGGTCAGAGGATCGGGGTGGGGATGAAGGGGGGCTCAGAGGATGGGATCCGCTCAGAGGATCGGGGTGGGGATGGGGGGGCTCAGAGGATGGGATGGGGGTCAGAGGATCAGAGTAGGGATGAGGGGGGCTCAGACGATGGGATGGGGGTCAGAGGATCAGGGTAGGGATGAGGGGGGCTCAGACGATGGGATGGGGGTCAGAGAATCGGGGTGGGGATGAGGGGGGGCTCAGGATGGGGCGGGGGTCAGAGGATCGGGATAGGGATGGGGGGGCTTAGAGGATCAGGGTAGGGATGAGGGGGGGCTCAGAGGATGGGACGGGGGTCAGAGGATCAGGGTAGGGATGAGGGGCTCAGGATGGGACGGGGATCAGAGGATCAGGGTAGGGATGAGGGGGGCTCAGAGGATGGGATGGGGGGTAGAGGATCAGGGTAGGAATGGGGGGCTCAGAGGGTGGGACGGGGGTCAGAGGATCAGTGTAGGGATGGTGGGGGTGCTCAGGACAGGTTGGGAGGGTGAGATACAAACTCAGGATGCTCAGAAAGGTTTTTGTGCAGCTGGGGGTGCAGAGGAGAGTGCTGTGCCTGGTAGGAGAACGGAATAAGGAAGGGGTCTGAGTCACCACAGCTAAATCAGGAAGTGATTTTTGTTTTTAAAGTAGGGATTGGGGGACTGGAAAATGTCTCCCCTTTGTTTATTATAGACAGGAGAAGTCTCATCAGGTTAATGGGAATCCTCCCGCCCACCCCGTGCATGGCTCACAGTTGAAAACATGCACCAAATGAATCCCCTTATTTCGTTTCTTCTTTATAATCTGCCTGGGACCAGGTGTCCTCTTAACAGACTTTATCAAAGACTGAATAGACACCCTGAACGTGAAGGATGTCACTCAGCTATGAGGCTGCTTAGCTGTTTCCATTAAAGTCCCAGGCCAAAACTGTCAAACATGGGTACCTAAAGTTAGGCCCCTAAACCCATAGCTGTAAATAGAAGTGGTCTCATTTTCAGAAGAGCGGAGCACCTTGAAATCCCATGGAAGACAATGGAAGCTGCTGGCTCCCAACACCCTTGAAATTCAGGCTGTTTCTATTAAGGGGCCTACTGACTAGCTTCAGATACCCAGATCTGGCCAGATCACTGGAAACATTCACCTTTTGCTCTGACACTGTCATTCTTTGTCTTTACCCATAGATGGATTTATGATGCATTGTTTCTTAGTGGTTTTGGTGTGCGTGGTGCTGTATAGCTATATTGTGGTAGGCCCCAAATGAGGGATTGTCCTCCTCCCCCTTATTTTAGGCACTATACAAACATCATAAAATGACAGTCAAATTCATTCCCTCCTCTGTAGAGCTCATAACCTGTGGCCCTGATCCTGAAAACTCTTAACCACTGGGCACAGGGCCTGATCCTGCACTCAGTGAAGTCAATTGTTACACCTTCCATTGACTTCAGTGGGTGCCAGATTAAGCCCATGGTATCCACTACTGTGACTAGTTCCTTGTTAGCTTCAGGGTTACAACTCTGTGCCTATGTCTTCGCTTCTCCAAAATAGTGTGTTTTTACATTGAGATAGCTAGCTTGATGTAAAATCCTAGTGGAGACAAGTTCATGGAGGATAGGTCCATCAATGGCTATTAGCCAGGATGGGCAGGGATGGTGTCCTTAGCCTCTGTTTGCCAGAGGCTGAGAATGGGCAACAGGGAGTGGATTGCTTGATGATGACCTGTTCTGTTTGTTCCCTGTGGGGCACCTGGCATTGGCCAATGTCTGAAGACAGGATACTGGGCTAGATGGACCTTTGGTCTGACCGATATGGCCGTTCTTATGAGACAAGGCACAGCTAGTTTTTACCTTGATGTAGCTACTTGATGTAGCTAGTTGAAGTCAGCCCCACGGCTCACTAGGGTTTAGCTTGACTAGCGTTTTGAGATAAAAACTACTGTGCCTTGTCTTCACTAGGATTTTACACTGAGGTAAAGACTTGGTGTAAAGTAAAGGCTTTACATTTGGTGTAAAGACTCACTTTTTTTGCAGTGAAGACAAAGGGCTGGAAGGGTTCTGCCAAGCAGTAAGGCCCTGATCCTGCAAAGACTTATACGTGTATTTAACTTAGACCCTCTGGGAGTACTAATGTGTGTAAAGTTAAGTGCATGTGTAAACATAAATGTTTGCAGGTTTGGGCTTTATGTTAGATGCAGGAGCCTTATCTACACTAGAAAACTTTTCTGTGGTGGGATTTTTTTTTATTTTTTTATTTTTTTAACTGTATAAATTAGATCTGCTGTGAGCAGATCTAGTGGCACAGTGCTTAAAATGGTGGTGGCAGCTGATATGCTTTCTACACTCAGGCTCCTGATGCCGCTAACACCCCGGGGAAATTTTTAGAAAACTTCCCTAAGCCACAATGAGATATGAAATAGATAAGTAGGGATGGAAGGGAGATTTGTGCTGTATGAGATCAGGAGTTCTCTATTTTCACACTGTATGTATCAGTTCCCTTTTTTGGTTTATTTTTGCACATATATTTTTGGTAGGTTGACGTATCAGTGGGGGTTAGTGGAAGTGTGTTTAAAAATAAAAAAAGTTATTGTTGTTTGTTGAAAGCTTGAGCAAAAATCCTTTTTGCTGTTTTTCAATTTGATGAGAAGGATGAGGGCAGGGAATACAATCTTTAAAAAAAAAATAAGTTCTAACTTTTTTTTTCTTTTTTAAACAAAGTCAGATAACAAAATAACTGAAATTTAAAATTTTCCCTGCCTCAGTTCTTCACTAAGAATTGCTGACTTTGCTTGGTTTGGGTGGTGATTTTAAAATAAGAAAGTTGAAAAAAATTACTTCTGAGCATGCTTGCTTGACACCACCTTGGACTTAGTCCTGCATTTGGATCTGCATAGGTGCCTGTGTAGAGCCCCATCAGCCCTGCTCTGAGGGCAGATCCAGTTGAAGGACTGGCCTCTTGTATTTTAAACAGAGTTTAAAGAAGCCATTTACTCTTTTGTCATATCTCTCCCAGTCAGACAAACACAGAGGTTGCTTTGGGGATGACTATCTAACTAAAACACACCTATAGCAAAATCCCGCAAACAAATTGCCTTAACATTGGGGACAGGAAAATGTTGTGTGCACAAGTCAATAAATCACCGGTCCTACTGTTTTAGTCCCTGATCCTGCACATATCTATGGACATGGGAACCTTTTAAGTTGACCTTGCCCCTTTAATGTTGTATGTCAGCATAACGGGATGTCTTGTTAAATCAGCTCTGCCGAGTAGAAATAGGAAAACTGTGAGCATGCCTCTCAGGGTGCTGATAGCATCTCATATCACTTAAGCTTCACTCTTGTGACTACCATGGCAGGTGCAGCCTCTGAATTTATCAAGCAATTCTGGTAAGAGACTTAATCATTATTATAGAAAGCTGTTTCCCTGATTCACAAAATGAATAGGCTTCTCCATTAACAAATGATTTGGAATAAAATTTAAGGAGAGGAAGAATGGTCTTGTGGTTTAAGCACCCAGCTGGGATTCAGGAGATCGATTCCCATCTCCACCACAATCTTCCTGTGTGACCTTGGACAAGTCACAGAGGTCTCAGTTCAGCCAAGCACTTAAGCATGTGAGTAGTCCCACTGACTTTATGGGTCAACTCACATGTTAAGTGCTTTGCTGGATCAGGGCCTATCTGTCAAATGGGGATAATAATACTCTGTGTTGTCTATTTAGCTAGTACGCTTTTCAGGGCATGGACTGTTTTGCTATGTGTATGTACAGTGTCTAGTACAATGGGGCTGTGTTCATGGTTGAGACCTGCACGCTCTCCTGTGATGCAAAATGTAAGTAGTAATAAATGTCCAATCACATGTTCCGTTTCAGGGGTAAATATATACTTGCTCATTGCTTTCCCGCTATCACTGTATGGCCAGCACATACGTGGCAATTTGTTTAGCCTCCTCCCACCCATAAGCAAGCTATTCTGATCATCGGAAGGCTATTCTGGTCAGCAGCTTGCAAAAGATTAAGGTGTCTGAAGTGTGAATTTCAGTCCCCTCCTTGTTATTGACTCTGAAGCATGACAACGCCTTTAGAGGCACCAGCATCATTTATTCTGTGAGGTTGTTTTTTAATGGAAAATAAAATTGACTGAATTCTAGAAACTATGCCTCAAAATAAACAATCTTCTGTCATTATTTCACTGTAGAAACTGACTTCTTGAGAGTGTCCATGAAGGAGGAAGGAGCTTCTGCCATGGCTGCCGAGCTGGATTTCTCTCCCCCTGAAGTCCCAGAGCCCACATTCATGGAGAACCTGCTGCGCTATGGACTCTTTTTTGGAGCCATTTTCCAGCTGATCTGTGTCCTGGCCATAATCCTCCCAATTTCAAAGTCCCATAAGACAGTAAGTTGCTCTCTGCAGTGCCAGCATGAGTGGGCACAATCGAGTGGTGGTAGCCAGAACCTAATGGTTGATCAGTAATTCTGTAGTTCAGTGCATTCCTTGTCTTTTCTGCGAGGATCCCTTTCCCTCTCTTCCGCCCTAACAGTCCCACGTCACTGCAACCCACTCCCCAGCCACAGAAGGTGGGAACAGCTGAGCCTGCCAGGGCTTCTCTGAGCATCAGCACAAGGGAGCAGCACTTTTCATGTGGGCTAAGTGTCCTTGCCTCTGCATTGCTCCCAGTTTCTTCCAGCACACAGACAAAGGGGTGACTTCAGTCTCAAATCTACATTGCCATATTAGTATTGGTCTTGTCCATTCTTTACCCTGTTGGTCAAGAAGCCAATCAAGGCGTACCCTCAGTAGAGTCTGCCTTTTCATAATCCTTGATAAAGGGTAGCGCTGCATGTGATACAGCTGAATTTCCCGGTGTTTGCTGGCACCAGCAACACAGCTCTCAGGACTGACTCCCACCTCTGGGCAGCCATGTGGAAGGCCACCTGGCTGTAGTCCGCACAAGTGGGTGATGATAATGTAAACTACAGGGCACAAAGCAAACGTGAGATGGAGTTAAAATGTAAAATATGGGCTAAACTGGAGTGATCAAAGTCCAACTGGCTGTTCTGATAGAACAAGATTCAAATGCACTTGGTAACCCATGTATTTGTAGGGTCTTTAGTCGTTACACCAACTTTTCCTGATGGCAATCAGACCGCAATACATAGTGATTTTATGTATATGTATTTGTCTTGATGTGTAGGGTGGAGGCCAGTATTTACTGGAACAACTTAACTTGGGAAGTTTTGTTCTCTTTACTGCTGGTAATAGATTTGTTTAGAACAGGGGTCGGCAACCTGCGGCATGTGTGCCAAAGGTGGCATGCGAGCTGATTTTTAGTGGCACTCTGCTGCCAGCCGGGGTCCCGGCCGCTGGCCCCACTCAGCCCGCTGCCAGCCTGGATGGACGGAACCCAGAGTTGGCAGCGGGCTGAGCAGCTCAGTCTGCTGCTGATCTGGGGTTCTGTCTGCTGCCCCCACTGCCAGTCTGGGGTTCCATCTGCCGGCCCCGCTCAGCCCACTGCCAGTCTGGGGTTCCAGCTGCCGACCCCTGGCATGCAAAACCTTAAATTACAGTAAATAAATGAAGACTTGGCACACCACTTCTCAAAGGTTGCCAACCCCTGGTTTAGAAAATCTGATTCTTGTTGTGAAAGGATGAGGGGTATCTTTATCACAATATTAACTCTACTTCGTGTGTCTGAAGCCTGGAACACCGCAATAATGCATTGAATGTAAAGTATCTTTAGATATATTTCTAAGATGGAAGATGCCGAACCTACTCAAGGTGTGTTTGTGTGTATGTGAGAGCGAGCTGCAGCTTGAAGGGAGATGTGGTTTCTTTCATTTTCTTGATCCTGTTATGTTTGGGGGGGAACGTTTAATGGCCTGAACTTTGAACGTGAACAATAAGGAGAGTTCACACTTTGTCATAAGGAGCTGAAAGCCAGGCACTGAATGAGAGTTGTAATGCTTAAGGAACCATCCCTTGGTGTGCACATGCTGTATTTAAATTTTCAACACACATATGCTGCCCTCTTAGAGAAGCTGCAGACAAGTCCCATATGATCAATTTACAAGCTAATAAACAAGAATAGATGTCTCTGGTCATGGGAGTGACACCAACTGCTTGAGTCTGTGTAGAATTCAGAACAGCCTCCTGCACTTGAGGAGGCTTCAGGCTTTGAAGATTACCTTGCTTTGAACATTAGAAGGCAGCAGTGATCATCGTATGGCAGCAGTGAACTCTGTGTCCCTGAATAGGAGCTGCATAGTGCTCTATTTCTCCACAGTATTGCTGTACTGTTTCCCAGCTCCCCATGCACCGATTACATCTTTCAGCAAGCCAGCCAAGACTCCTCCCTTGGAAGGCCACACAGATATGGATAGTAATAGCGCAGCAACTTAAGAACCATTTGAACCAAGCTCATTGTAACTTGAGAAACATTTGAACCAAGCTCATTGATTAAAAGGATACTGTCAGCTACTCCCCTCCCCCTGCATTATCTGTAACTCTCTCTTGGAAGCTTAAAACTAACACATCTTTCTCTGCCATTTTTGTGTGTCCTTTTCCAGTTGGCACATATTGATTGATAGAAACGTAGAAGCATAAGCAATATTTATGTCCAAACTCATCTAATGAAACGAGGCAATCTGCATGTGTGTGCCTTCTGGGATGAGACTGGCTCTGCTCCCTTGCATTTTTCCAAGATGACTAGAGTTTGGTTCCCATAATAGAAATGTTATCTATCATCTCCCTTGAAGGAAGAGATTGGGATGTCTCTAAGCTATCCTTCTTAGTCCAGGTGAAGAGAGCTTTGTCTCTAACTTCTCTCCTAGATCTGGGGGCTTGATTACAAACTCTGAGCTTTAAATTCCTGCTGCTGGTTTGTTTTTGTTTTTTTGGAGGAGTGGGGGTTGTCTGATGATGTATGATGCATGATGATGTTTTTCTTTTTGCAAAATCCCTGTTGAATGTTTCAGCACATGTTCAGCTGATTTCAGAATTCTTTTTCTGTTCTTCCCATTTGGAATTTTTTTTATTTTCACTTCTCTGTTTCCTGCCCTCCGTCCTTTTGTTCTTCCTCCTCCAAGTCTTCCCTAAAGGGTGTCACAAATTCACTGGTAATGGAATGTGGTTCTGCTTGGCTTCTGAGGTCTGGTCTATACCCAGAGTTGCATCAGTAACAGTGTATGATTTTAAACCAGTGTAAGAAACAAGATAGATACTCCTAAATCAAATTAAATCTGGATAACAAGGGGTTAGCTTGCATCAGTAATTTACAGACTGCATGTTTAAACCGATGTGACTAGGTTTAAACCAACAGGTGCAATGTGTGTGTTGACAAGGCCTTACATTAGTTGCTTGCTCCTTTTGGTATAGATACTCAGATTCTGAACTGGGATGAGATGTGAAATACAAATCTCATGCCTGAAAACATTACTGACTGTTCCTTTCTTAATTGACTGTTGTAGGACTCTGACAGTTTTGAGTCTAAAAGTTCAGAGGTGGTGAAGAAGCCAAAGGGGGCTGCTCCGCAGCTGAGCAAGAAACCCAAGAAGGAAACCAAGAAAAAGAGATAAAAGGCCTTGTAAAGGAGCATTAAAGACAAGTGGACTGCACACAGCCAGATGGTTAATTTAACTGTCCTAGTCAGCATGGATCATCTCACCTCCGATGGGGAGGGAAAGCTTACACTTCACATCCCAGCCAGCATGGAGGAGATGCAAGTGAGGGCATGGAATGGGGGGCATGTGTTGTGCCACTGAGGATACCTTTTTCTACGTCATTCTTTTAAAGACTGATGGATCAAGGACATCACACCACCCAGCTTTATATTCACTTGTATTGTTGTTACATCTAAAATACATCACTGCATTTTATGGCTTAGTAGTAATGGCTTTGTTACGTTTTTTAAAAAAAAAAATTCTCCTTAGGTAATAAGTCCCCTGAGTCCAGAGTCGCCCAGCTCAGGGCTTTCACTTGCCCCTATCGCTACCACTCTGGGACTGCTTTCTTCAGCCACTCTAGTCATGGAAACACCTTTCCCCTCTGCTTCCAACCTGAAAGAAAAAAATATGGAAACCTCAACTTTCTGTGGTCAGAAGGGCTGAAAAAATGCAAGGACTAGGTGATTACTGGGCTCTTAAAAATACAGAGATGTTCCATTATAGGAAGCAGCAGCAGAGAGGTTAGGAGTTTTGCAAACTGTCTGCCCACAACAAACAGAAACTCTATGTACCACGTTCTGCTGCTAGCAAAGCATGGAAATCATTCTATCAGACCTCCCATCTATAATGCTCTTAGGCAAATTTTGGGTGTGCATGTAGCTTTGCCTAGCATGGTATCCTGTGTCTCCTCTCACTGAACTCCTTCTGAAGTCAGCTATTATCCTGCCCTGGGGAAAGGAGGCAATGCAAAATCCACAGGACAATAAGCTCGCTATGAAACACAGCATAGATGATGATGTGTGTTGCTGTATAGCCATGCACCTCCAGGGTCTCACTTTGAGGCCAGAGACCTAATGTTAGATTTAAATGTGGCTGGAAAGGATTAGAAACATACATGGTGATACAGCAGCAGAGCCTCAATAGGGCAGCACTACCCCCTGATGAGAGCTCACATGCCAGCTTGTTTGATCACTGGTGGGTCATTAGTATGAGAACCACTGCTTAAATGCACTCAGAATTCAGAGCAGCACTAGGATCTGCTTTGAAGGAAAGTGTTCTATTGATTAATGCCTCAGTCCTGCAGTCAGATCCACGTGGGCAGATCCCTGCCACTATGCTGCATCTTAGTGATGTTAATGGACACAGGATGGATCCAGTTGCAGGACTGATGCCTGTGAGTGGGTATCAGATATTACACTGCATTTGGTCTACAACGTAAGCAAAACAATATGTTTGCACTTCTACAGATTACCACTGCTGAAGAGAGAGACTGAACCGTCTGTTCCTTTTTGTGTTTCTGGGGTTTTTTTGGACTCAGAGGGGTCTGACTCAAACTTCTGATCACTTTTCAGTTGTGCTGTAGGTACTGTCCCAGATGCTCTGCCTCCCTGCTTACACAGAATGTCACTGTCATTGGTTGCTGGAAGCACATTAGTGGTGGTTAAAACCTGACTTGGAGAATCCTTCTGTGAATTCACTCTTCATTTGTTCTACAGACAGTTTTCAACAGAGTACCGAATGAAACACTAATAGACAAAAGAAGACCCCACCCACCCTCTACCCCAACTCCAGAGCTAGAATGATCTCTCAATGCAGCAAAGAAATGTTATGAAACAGATGATAGAGAACAGTGATCTTTGTAGGCCACAAGTTCCTTGTTTTGCTCCATATTCCTGCCCAGAGACTCCAAGGGAATGAAAATAATTGTTGCTGTCCCAGTGTAGGTGCAGTTAGGGTTTGCCATTCTTTTTAAAATGAGGACAGATCAGCACTGGTCATGTGTCCTAGCCCAATGAAGCAGTCCCGCTTCTTGTGATTTGATGGGTTTTTTGATTTGTTATAACAGAAGCACAAAGTATTTGGTGGTAACATTAACATAGCTGGAAAGGCAGAGGCTGTGTTGCATCCTAAATAGCATGCTAGTTAATGGGGATTGTATGGCCATTGCCCTGAAATGACAGGCCTCCATGTCAACCCATCATTTTATTGCCAGTCCGAATTTTAGTCACTCTTTGGTAAACAGGAATCGTGAATATTTAGTTGGTTGTTATTTAAAAATAGATGAGGTTCCAGTCTATTCCTTAGAGTAATGTAGTTCAGCCCTCTGATTAGCTAAACATATAGTCTCTGCTCACAGATGAGTAATACAATATGTGTTGTATTTTAACTTCTCTTGAACTGTGTATGTAATAAAGATAACTGGGAAAATGCAGTGACGGACTTTTTAGACTTTGCTGCCTCCTCTTGAGCATTCAGTGTGAAAATAGCCATTGATTTGGGAGTGAGTGGGTAGGGGCATAAATAATGTTCGTCATAAGAATGGTCTGACTGTTAGAAAAAAGCTGCTCAGATCCCCTCACCTGTAAGGAATTCGTTAATTGATACTGTAAGGTACTGTAGATGTTTGTGTTGAGCTCCTTTTGAAAGATGGCAAACGGTCCTTTAATATACATTCCCCCCGAGAAAGGAAACGATACCATGACTAAATTAATTTGTCTCATGGGATATTTTTGCTCTGAGAGCTCTAGGGAAGGTGTAGTAATGATTAAAATACTGCTTGTTAATGATACTGACTGGGGATCGGATGGCTGAGTAGATTGATAATGGGGATTTTTGCCTCTAGGTCCCTGGTTTGAATCTAGACCAGTTTAATAGTGGTTGAAGTATAGTACTGGCTGATGGCGGTTCATTGAGTTGGATGGAAATAGGTAGTTCAGGCAAGGTTCTGGTGACCATCACCGCTCAAATCCTCAGCAGAAAAGCTAAGAGAAAGGATACAAAGAACAACTGCATTTATGTGGTAAATCCTTTAATCCCTGAAGTCTTTCCTTGTGGTGGGTTTGTCGTTACCCTCCCAAAGAGAGCTGAAGACCTGACTAAGTCAGTGTTGTTTTATGTAAAGGAAACTTTTAGAGCCTGCCTTCAGATAGGAATATTGGTCCAAAAGTCTGAATCCCAATATCGATCTCTGCGCAGAGCCCTAGTCAGCACCAGAGTGTCCTGGCAGCCCAAAGCCCAGGAAGTGGCAGCTGGATGCCCTCAGTTAATTGTGGTTGCTGAGTTCCCTTCACTCCATCGGGCAGGTCTGTGTTTTGTAGAAATACATTTGTGAGTTGGGATTGTTTTTTATTTGCCATTTGGTTGTATTAGAGCAAATCCATCCTAGCTTCCTCCCCTCATTTGAGAGCTGCAGCGGCTGCTGTCCCTTTGAACGCAGGTATTACACCAACAATACATCCTTGTACTTCTCCAGTACAAGTAGCACAATCCCTTGAGGCTGGCTAATAAGTAGCTCATGACCGAAGTCTCTGTTCGCACAGTTCAATTAAATCCCTATTAATCTTATTCAGACCTAATTTACTTTCATTTTAATGCACACACTTCTGTTCGCCTCAGATACACCCTGGTGAGCTTCCCCACTGATAGGAAATGAACTGCCTGGAGCCATCTTTGAAGAATACTGATGTCTGCCCAGATCCGCCCCCTTCCCTATCAAAAGGTATGGCCTGGGATTATTTCCCCGCCTACATTTCTGCTGCTAAGAATGTAAAAATATGACTCAAATGCTGGGATGTGCTAGGCCTGGAGGTGATACACATGAGGAAATGAGGAGACACAAGAAAGCAGACAGGGAAAAGACCAGGTTAGTGATCTTGTCTCTTCCAGGGGCCACTGCTGAATCATTCCCTATTGTACATTGCTAATATTTTGACCACCATCTAGACTGAAATGTCCCAAAAGTGATGGGGCTCCAAGTTCTTCCCTCGGGAGACTGTTTTACAGTCTAATACCTCCCACCAACTCAAAGTTTCCCTGATATTCACCTCCATTTTGAATCCCAGTTTCATGCCATTCCTCCTAGTTTTACCTTCCTTGCATTATCCTAATTAACTCCTCTCCCCCCTCTTGATGTCTCCACCCATCCAATATATGTTAACTGTTACGTTCCCACTACCATCCTCCAACTCACGGTTATTGCTTAGCCAGGACTTTACCCTGAGAGCCAGATTGTGCCACCCCTATTCATGCTGAGTGGTACCTGAATTTGCAAGTAGTCCCATTGATCCTAAATGCCCTTATGATAACTAGCACTTTCCATTGTCAAAGTGCTGTCCAAATAGCTCATTAAGCCTCATGGTCCCACTGTGAGGGGGTATCAGCACCCCAGTTTCACTAACTGGGGCACAGGGAAGCTAAGTGACTTCATAGACTCATAGATATTAGAGCTGGAAGAGACCTTGAGAGGTCATCTAAACCAGTGTTTCTCAACCTTTTCATATCAGGGACCGGATTGCTGCCTTCCTAAACTGTCAAGGAGAGCTACAGGACCAATGCTGGTCCATGGACCCAGCGCTGAGAAATACTGATTCTAGTCCAGGTCCCTGCACTGATGAAGGACCAAGTACACCTAGACCATCCTTGACAGGTGTTTGTCTAACCTGTCCTTAAAAACGTTCAAAGATGGGAATTCCACAACCTCCCTATTCCAGAGCTTAAACACCCTTGTAGTTAGAAGCTTTTTCCAAATATCTAACAGAAATTGTCTTTGCTGCAGATTAAGCTGATTACTTCGTGTCTTACCTTTAGTTGCCATGGAGAACAATTGATCACTGTCCTCTTTATAAAAGCCCTTAACATATTTACAGACTATCAGACCCCCTCTCCCCATCTTCTTTTCTCAAGACTAAACATGCCCAGTTCTTTTAAACCTTTTCTCATCGGTCAGGTTTTCTAAACCTTTCAGCATATTTGTTGCTCTCCTCTGGACTGTGTCCAGTTTGTCCACCTCTTCTTAAAGTGTGTCCCAGAATTGGACATTGTACTCCAGCTGAGGCCTCAGCAATGCCAAGTAGAGCGGGACAATTACCTCCTGTGTCTTCATACGACACTCCTGTTAATGCAGCCTAGAATGATATTCGCTGCTGCACCACATTGTTGGCTCATATTCAATTTGTGACCCACTCTGACCCCCAGATCCTTCTCAGCAGTAGTGCCGCCTAGCCAGTTACTCCCTGTTTTACTGCTGTGCAGTTGATTTTTCCATCCTGAGTATAGCATTTTGCATTGTCTTTATTGAATTTCTTCTTGTTGTGTTCCGACCAATTCTCCAAGTTGTCAAAGTCATTTTGAATTCTAAGCCTGTCTTCCACTGTGCTTGCAAATCCTCCCAGCTTCGTGGCATCCGCAAGTTTTAGAAGCATATTCTCCATTATCCAAGTCATT